GTACACATTTAAGTTCTTTTTCAGGCCAACAAACAGAACTCACCCTCAGTGACAACATAATATTAAATAGAACACACTAGAGACAAACTTTATATGATAGCTAATTATAATTTATTTATTTATTACGTTTTTAAACCACTCCTCTCCCTCATAGATGAAACCGCAATGGAGGGAAAATTGAAGATATAACGGAAGGAATAGCTCTCTATATAATAATTTTATTATTAATTCAGACCCAATTGGGCTGTCTCCTGATATCATCACAGGAAAAGTTCTGATCTATATTCCAAACAATTAAACCTCCAACTATAGTGGACCATGGAGTCTAAAGATGACACAGAAATACAAGCTTTCCTTCATACTTCAGAAAAAAAAATCATTAGTAATGAGGTATCACAGATTACTGTTCAAACTGGGAATGAATGGAGATAGAGGTCTCAGGTAATTTTCAGCTATTATTTCATAGAGCAACAATATGGGAAAGAGGAACATTTGTCAGTCATTAATTTTCACAAGAAGAACAATGCAGACATATACCTCTGTGTGTATGTGTGTGTGTGTGTGTGTGTGTGTGTGTGTGTGTGTGTGTGTGTGTGTCTTCCTCAATTTCCAGTCCTCTATAGAAGGTTTTGGAGCTGGAAGGTTCTGTGCAATGTCTTAGTTCAGCGGTCCCCAGCCTTTGCAGCTTGGCGGCCCAGCTAGGGGGCAGGGGGGAACTTGGCCATGCAAGCGCGGGTCAGCATGCACAAGTGTCCGCCACTCATGGAAGTTGTGTTGTGCGCATGCACACATATGCTCCAGCCAGTCATGCAGCCCAATTCCGAATACACCACATGGTGGACCACCGCCCAGGGATTGGGGACCCCTGTCTTAGTTGTTCCCAGCACTGTATTTGTCTGGACGGAGAACTCTGATGTTGTTCCTGGGATTGTTAGAGCCACTCTTCCAGTTTAGAAATCACAGTCCTGAGTGCTCCTACCACCATTGGGACCATTTTGACATTTCCATATCGTCTCTAGTTCCTCCTTCAGTATTCTTCAGTTTTTCATATTCCTTCCTGATGTTGCTGTCATTTAGCACCATTATATCTATCATCACTGTTGTCTTCTGGTCCTTGTCTACTATCGTGATGTCTGGTTCATTGGCCAGTATCTGCCTGCCTGCCTGGAAGTCCCACAAGATCTTAGCAAGAAACTTTCCCAAGATCTTAGCAAGAAAGTTATTCTCTACAACTTTCCATGGAATCTCTTTCTGTACATAATGCCAGCATATACTTGGTACCATTCAGTATATGCTGTTCCGGCCTGCATTTTACACCATTCCATTATGCGTTGGACTCCTCTGAGGCCTCTCGGCATACTAGTCTACCAATCCAGTGTGATAGACCCCCTTCTTCTATGGTGTTTCAGTGCTTAGTGCCTGTTCTTCTGCTAATATGAGCAATACCTCAGGTCTCTCATTTAGTCCAGCTACTGGCAGGATTTCCCAATGTCAATCATCTCAACTATCTATCAATAATCATCTAATCCAGGGTCTTGTCTTCCCATGGCACTTCCTTTGCCTGAAGTTCCTCCCATGCCTGCTGCTGTCTCAGGCGTTCTCTCAACAGCTCCTCTTTGGGTCCCATCTTACTGATGGATTCCAGCTGGCGAATTCTGGGAGTTGAAGTCCACACATCCTAAACTTGCCAGGGTTGAACTTGCCCCTTCTTGGGGGCCCTGCTGTACCTATCTCCTTGTCGAGGAAGGGTCATTCATACCTCACATAAAGCTCTTGACATGTCAATCCTCCCCGCACACCCCCTATATGGTGATTTTTAGTAAATTTGCTAAATGACTAATTTTATTGTTTGTAAATGGCATTTTTAATTATAGCTTTGATATAAATAATGTTTATATTGTTATTGTTAACTTGTTATTGTTCAAGTACACCTGGATTTAACTGATGTGGAAGAATATAAAATAATCAAGTATGTTTTTTTATGAAAACATTTTGCTTCCAGGTACACCTTTTTTCTCCTTTGGACTTAACATTGCATCACTGGCTACTGCCTATTATGTGTGGAGATTTCTTCTTTTTCTCATACTTTCAAGGGGCCTATTAAAATTAAAATGATATCCTATTTTAAATGTGTATTTTACACTATAGAATATAGCCTTTTATATTTTTTTTTCTTGCTTACTCTGACATCTGGGACAGGTGGAACAAGACAGACAAGACCCCAAGCAACATATTTAGAACAGTTTGGGCTCCAATGTACAGTAGCATTTCCTTTTTCACACAATGTTCATCATTCTACATGCATCAGGTGTACAGTAAGCATGATTATGAGCAGACTTAATGTGATGTGTGTCTCTTATTGAATACCCTTTCTAAATTACATTTTAGTAATAATGCATTATTTAAATCTGTGTTTCCAAATAACCATTTTAGCGCCATTACATGTGAAATTATAGTAGCAGAATAATTTTTGCACCGTGAAATTGGTAACAGACATTTCTACAGCCCAGTTTGTTCAGAAATAGATGTCATAGGTCAAGAGGGACTACTGAGAGGTAGGTCAGCAAACAAGACACAGGACAGATAAGTTCCAGTCCTGTATTACATATCTAAGGGATCAAATAGCATTTGAAATATGAAGAATTATGTATTAGTATGAATAATAATATACTGTGGCTAAGAAATTATATGTTAGAAACCAAGTAAAAATAACCTTTATGACTAAAGTTAGCAAAAAAAAAAAAATCAAGACTAAAAATCCCTACTATATATTTATACTGATATGTAAGTGACATATAACATCTCTATACACTTATATTAAACATCACACCTGGTAGCTTATGGGTGACTAGGAGCTGCATTCCACTATATGAACTGTTCCAAGTGTCCTCCATCGCTAGCAGGAAAACCAAGCTGACTAGCGAGAGAAATCAATGGAGTTGCAGAAAGCCATTTTCCCCCAAGTAGACTGCTAAGAAAATGCTAGGCTGAATTTTGACATCAGTCAAAGTTTGACATCAGAAAATAGGGATTCTTTTTCTCCATGGCAAGCAAATTAATACTGCTAACCCCTTGGCAGGCTAGTTTTCAGAAGTATTTCAGTGATTTATTTAGAACACTTTGGCATGCATGTTACTGGCATACTATGAACAAACACCAATACATTAAAACAAATGTTCTTGATATAATTTTTTATCTTTGTGAATGTTTAAATGATTTTAGTAGCTAATACATGTTCTGTAAACTTCCAGTTTTGGAACAATATACACGGTGGGAGGGAAGGAAGAGGAAAGAAAAAAACAATATTCTTCTAAGCACAAATATATAACGCTGATAATTTATCTCCACCCACTTGGTTTACATTACAGAAAAGCAATATATATAATCCTTTCTCTGGAGTTTTAATTCTGGGTTTTTATGTTGTTCTGGGTTTCTACTACAGAATTCAGGGGAATATATTTTCATTTATGAAAATATGATTTATGCTTGATGTATATACAGTATATAACATAGATTGATAAGATTCAATTATAGCAATCATGGCTGTCCTTTTGGATATGAAGGGTGAGATGATCCTTGAGGGGGTATATCTCTGTGACAGAGTGATGATACTGACACTGCTTGAGTGGCATTCAAAAACTTAACTTTCTTAAATTTCATGAACTTACCAGGATTTGTAATACAAAATACTACTGATTTGCATTAACAAAAAAGAAAAAAAGAAACAAGCTCATTCCCTGTAAATTAAACAGCTGTTTTCAAAGGCAGACAATAACCTCAGTGAGAACCAGTTTGGTGTGGTGGTTCTAAGACAATTGGCTACAAACAAAGCCAACTGGGTGACCTTGGGCTTTCTCTCAGCCCTAGGAAAGCGAAAATGGCAAACTACTTCTGAAAACAAATCACCAAGCAAACTGCAGAGACTTGTCCAGGCACTCTCTGAGAATTGGTCACAATTGAATGAGGAAAAAAAATCTCAATGTACCTTTAAGTTAAAGTGATTTTAATATATTCATGATATATTTTAAAATGTTATGCAGTTTATTAAACTGTTTTTATTAGAGATCTCCATTTTCAACAGAGTTTGTATTTACTGAATTAGAAAACAATTAAGATTCCACTCTTTCAATTCATTCTACGTGTCACTTTGAATCTGTCCAGACTTGTTCCTTAACTGCACCTTTTGCCTTGGTAATGTGACATATTAAGATAGCTTAGAGAGTTTAACAACCTACAATGCTCGTATTCATTACATACAAAACCAAACTCTACCTGATATGACAAAGGCCTTAGGAGAGGTTTTTAAATAGCTTTTGGGATTCTAAAACACTGAATGTGAGATTCTTTTTAAATTTAATTTTGAGTAGATCAGCAGCAAACATTTTTGAATATCACAGAGAGTAGGTAAATAGATTTAAATACTGGATTAAAATGTGTTATCAAATTGACCTATTTGAACTGAAATCACAATTGCTTTGAGAATACTTTTAATTGACATGAAATTCCATTCATGTAAGGTGCTGAGTGTCATTAGGTTTGAAAAGGAACAAACTTAGACAGTTTAATCCCAAGAAAGCATTCACAATTATATTTTGAAGACTTGAATAATTGTTAAATTTAATATATATTGGATATATTAAAACATTAAAACGTTTAATAGATTTTTGACCAAAGTGGCAAGAATAAACCATTCAGCAAATTTCTACAATACTCAAAATTCCATGCTTGAAAACTTTGGGGGAACTTTAAAAAAGTATTCTGGATATTTAATCATAGTATACTTGTTTTGCACAGCAATATTTACATCCCCAAATACAATAGTTTGTGCAGCCAAATTATTGGTTAAGTTTTAAAAATCCCTCCTATTAAAGTGTATAATGCCCAACCACATCTCCCTCTCTCTTTTCTTTCTTATGTCCACCCCCATGTTATTGCTCAAGAAGTGCAATGATGATGTAGGAATGCTATTGCAAAGTAAAAGGCATTATAAAAATAAAAAATAAATGAAATTAATTTCATTTTTATTACAAATAGCCAAGGATTTTTTTTCCAAAATATAAATCTGTAAAATAATTGCATTGACTGTACAATTTCATTTACAGTATACAATTCAGAAAACATGTAAAAGAACTGTTTTTTTTTTTTATACATTAGCCCTTGGCCACAAAACAAAGAGTTTGGCAGTAGTACTACAACTTTAATGACTATGGGGTGAAAATCAACATATCAATTACATCATCTAACATCATTATCAAAGTGGGATACATACATACATCATTGTACAGGGAATGTTTTTTTTTTTTTTTTAACTGGAAACTGTCATCATGTTGTAGTTCTTGGAAGGGCTGGCTCTGCCAATTCTCCACTCCTCTTTACAGCTGCTTCTGCTCTCCAGAGCTTTGGCATTCTTCATGGCTGGTTTAGGGCCTTCGTAGAGGGCGCAGATAGACCCATCTTCTCCTATACGATAGGACACTTCAAACGGGTCTACCCAGAGAGTTAGTTCGCTGGGCAGGAGCTGGAAGAGTCTCTCGCGGCTTAGTCCAATCATGCCTGCTGCCTTGCCTATCAAGGGGTCCATCTTGTGATTGATCCTAATGCAGCGGTACCCAGAGCCTTTGGAGGGCATCAAGGGGAACCAGTGGTGCTTATAATGATCTGCAAAGAGGAACAAAGGAAAGAAAAAAAAAAAAAACCGAGAGAAGAGTTACAGCCTTGCACAGCCGGCCCTGGGGCACTCCGGAATTAGCCGAACCAGATCATCAAACCCCCCCCCCCCCCACACACACATCGCCTGGCAAGGGACGGCAAACAGGGATGGGACGGAGGGTTGCAAGGACCGATCCCGTCGATCAGAAAAAGCCGTTTGGCTAAAGTCCGACATCGAGGAGTGTCCCGCTAACGATAGGAGGGCTTGGGGGGGGGGGGGGGGGGGGGGGGGGGGGGGACCCGAAGTAGCTCCAGGGCGAGGGCCGCGAAAGGGGACAGGAGGTGGCGGGAAACGGGGAATTGGGTCCCCGGTTAGAGGCGCCTCGAGAGGTTTCCGTTGCGCCGCGAACGGGACTGGACGGACGTCCTTTTGGGGCTCAGCACAGCGGTGCCAGCGGCTGAGGGGCGCCGGGCTCCGTCTCGCTCGTCCCGGCGGCGGCACTGAGGCAAGAGACGGAAAGTGTGTGGTGGTGGGGGGGGACGGGGACGGGGACAGGCGTTTCTCGCCGCCGCCTCACCTCGGAGTGCCTCCTGGAGGGACTCGCTGAAGCAACGCAGCTCCTCGTCGCCGATGCCGCCGGGGGTCCTGAGGAGGCGGGTGATGAAGCCCGCGGCCGTGGAAATCTCCGTCTTCATGGCTCTGCCCGGGCAACTCTCGCTCGCTCTCTCTGCGTCGGAAGGGCGAAGGCGGCAGATGTTGCGGGGAAGGGAGGGGTGACCCAGCTGCCGATCGGCGCCGCCGGCTCAGCTGCTGCAGCCGCCGCCGCCGCCACCCACTCAGCCGCCGCTGGGGAGCCGAGCGCGAGGAGTAAACAGATCGGGAGACACAGACGATGAGCGGCCGTCCCCTCCGCCTCCACACACGGGGGGAGGGCGTGACCAGCATCAACCAATGAAGGCGAAGGCAAGCGGCTACCTCACAGAAACTGGGGTTCCGTCTGGCGGACGCCAAAGCACCTCTCCCGATTGGGTGAGAAATGACACGCCGCCTCGTGATTGGCCGGCGCCGTGCAAAAGGAAGCCGCTATCTCCAATTCTCCCCGCGCAGAAAGTTAGAGAGGGGCGGGGCTCTAGGCCCCGCTGATTGTTTTGTTCTCTGCGTCAGCGCGGGAGGGAGGTGTTGGAATAGCGGGCGGGCTCTTTCCTCCGCGCGGAAAGTGGGAGCGTTCGGAGACGGAAATGTTTACAGTCCGCTGAGCGGAGGAGGGGAAGCGTTGCGTCTTCTCTCGCCAGCCAAACAGCCCGGAGTTCATTATAAATGCGCGAGATAGGTTATCGCAAAAGCACTAAGGGTAGGAATTTGCTCCCCTAGGGAACTGTGAGCTAGGTGGTGCAATCAGGTGATGCAAATATAGTTGAAATATGCGGCGAAAGCTGGATATGTCATAGGACCACTACGCCAGAGAAGCCATCCTGGGACATCTTAACGGAAAGGCGGAGTAAAAATCTAATTAGAGTGCGAAACAGGGATTAAGTTTTTGGTCTAGAATAAGGAAACCTAGGTTTTAGTTCACCTTCAGCCGTGGAAGTTCCCTGGATGGTTTTGGATTAGGCATTCTCAACTCATATCTCTTGGAGTTGTGGTGTGGGGGAAAATAGGAGCAGTATCCATGTTCTCTGGAGCTTCTGTACAAAAGGAAGCATATAAGTCTACAGTGAATCTTGAAAATCTAAGGAAGCTGTAATAAAAGATTATTCCTCATATACCAGTAATCTTTCAATTAAAAGTTAAGAGGTGTTCGGCAAGGTAATCCTAACCTCAGTATCTTGGCGTAAAAATAAAAGATCCATAATTTTCCCAAAGTTTGTTGACACATTGACCACTCAGGAAATATACTGAGTATTTTTGGAGGAACATTATTTTGCAGTCCTTTGATTTCTAGTGCCAAGTGGTATAAGGAAGCCAGATGTACACATGCTTTGCATCAGGAAAGCAAGTTTATTTGGATTGGTTAACGGCACGCCTTTTCCTCTTCCAAGGGGGAATCAAAGGAGCTGTAATTCAAAAATATGCCTTGCATTAGTTATCAGTAGTCTAGCACTTCTTTGGGGTGCTAATTCTGATGTTGCATGAGAACTTTGCACAATTTTATGCAAGTCTGTGGCATTTCAAAGAACAAAGGTTTTAACATGTAAATTAATGATAAAATGTTAAGGGACTGAGAAAGAAAGAAATATCAAGGGAACTTCAGTTCTGTATGAGGGTCCTATATGCTGTGCAGAGCTGAGATTGGAATGAAATAAGAGATTGCAGATTTTAGTAAATTCTCAAAAAGCTATCAAACTATCATTGCTTCATGTGTTTAATCAAATCCTTTTCTGATATCTGCGAATATAAGAAGTGCCTTGGTTAAAATGAAAACTACTTCATTCAGAAAAGTAATATTGGGAAATATCAGAAGTTGTCTAGGAGCTTTAAGCTTTCTTTCTCTAAAAATCAAAGCATCTCATCCTTTCAAGAGTGGCAAAACTGGCAATTACTGAGTTATAGCTCTCCTCATTCCTCACTTCTGGTCAATGCCAGTTTTGAGATATAATTCAGCAGTGTCTAGAAGGTCATGGACTCCTCTCTTGTGGTTTTTGATTTACTGTCTGGTTGAGCACAAGCTTTTCCACATTTTGTTTAGATGTTTGAACAGCAGCATAGCAGTACATTCATGGCCTGAGAATTATGAGTATTTTCTATCAGTGTTACTAGAGAATTAATCATTTGGTATCTTCATTTCTTACTGTACATCGGCACCAGATCTAGACAGTTACTGGTATCTGTTGTCCTTGATTAAGATATAGGGCTACAGAGAGAGTTCAGTAATTCTTTTTTAGGCACTTAACTACAAGGAATTAAGTAGAATTTTACTAATGCAGATGAGGAATATATTCAAGGACTATATTTTGTCGATATTAGGCAAGTTTTCCAAATAAATGTTTTTGGTCATGTTTGGGAAAGCAATCTTTAGAACAGTGGCTACATTTGGAAAATTTAAAACATGAACCCTCTCACAAAATGACTGCCATAGAGAGCCATGTTTTTTTTACAGAATGACTACCATAGTGGCGATGGCTAATTATAAAACATCAGTTTACTAGTAGAAAACAAAGTGATGACGATGCTCACCACCTCCACCACCCATTTCCCATTTTTTCTTTTTTAGAATTTTTTTTTTAGATCTATGTGGTGGCTTAGATGTATTCTTGAAAATAAAAAAGACTGATGGTCAGGTAGGTGGCACAATCTAGAAACTTCACTTGAATTTTAGATTAAGTAGATCTTTAGCCATGCTACTTAATGTTTAAATAGGGGACTGGACATGCAGGTATATATGTGAGGAAATTTTTAAGAATGGAAAGAGCCAAATATCCTGTATTGTTGACAAGAAAATTATAAGAATGTATGAATGCATGAAGTCACAGTAGAGTTTAACAAGAAAGATTTTAACTTTACCTAGAGATTAATTCTTTGTGTATAGTATGCTATTTCTCCATTGTTGATGTTTTCTAATATATTTTTAAAAGCAGGTGAGGTGTACCAAGCTTAGTGCACACTATGGGTTCATTAGTATCAGAGATATCATGTTATCTACCTTGCATAGACCATAATAGAATAGAATAGAAAAGAGAGCTATCTTTAAATAACTTTCTCCTCTAATTTCAGATAATCTGAAAGTGACATAATCCATAGTTATGCTGGCTGTCCAATAATAAACCTTGTATGCTCCAGATGGAGGATAGACTTGAAAATGACTACACTACATATTTTGGACTAACTATATTTGCATAATACACTGAATCACAATCTATCCAATAATTTTGAATATGTTGTACAATATCTCATTTTGCAGTTAGATTATGCTTCCAAGTGTTGTGTGCATCCAGAAAATTGGTTAAATAAAACAAGATTCAGTTAACTATGGACAGGTGTGTTATATGAATATAACTTCATCATACCTGTTTGTCTTATGCAAATAAAGAGAGCATATGGATGTTCTCATGGATCCTGATAAATCTGAGGAAGGTGGTACCCAAATTGGTGATCCTCCTAGACTTTCAGTTATTGCTTGAGGAGCATCTATGAACAGGAGGCCTTATCTTACATGCCAATTCCTATTAACAGTAGGCTCTACTTATTGTCACTCTTGCTTTGGTCATTCCCATCCAAATTGCAATGTGCTTTATATAGGTTGGCCTTGAAGACAATTTGGAAGTTGCAGTGGTCTGAGTAGTCATGGATGTGTATTGGTATACCCATTTTATTTGTGAGCTCCTCTGGCTCCCAGTGGTCTTTTAAGTGCTATTCAAGGTGCTAATTGTCACCTAAAGGTTATCTAAGATTGCCTGTCTGCAACCATTTCTGTTCATCCTACAAGATCTGATAGGGTGGGCTCCAGGTTCTCTCTGTTAAACAACATCTTCTAATGGGAACCACCCTTTTCTGTCACCAGGCCTGCTCTAGATTCAAGACAGCCTGAGCTCACCCTATTGACTTTTCATAAAACATTGTGGACATTTGTTCTTGCCTGAGCATTTGGGCTAGGGCTAGCTATTGGATAAATCTTGGTGTTTATGGTTGTATATTGTTGAAGGCATGCTCTGAGTATGGTATGTTGTTTCAAATTTTAAAAAAATTATTTGTTAGACTTTAAATTGACCATTAGTTATTTACAATCCTATTGAGTGAGAGCCAAAGCAATTTAAATAATGTATGGTGGCCTTTTTAACAGATAGTAAAAAAATAAAAAACCTGGGAATTTCTGACCGCGGCAGGTAGTTTATCATTTATTTTCTTCATTAATTGTATATCTTTTGCTGTGCCGTGATTTTATTGCAATATTGCAATTTAGATCAGAAGCTACTATGTACACAGATGGTACATAGCAATCAAATTGTATTTCCACCTTAATGCTCTTTTCAGATCCGGAGAACCATTGGCTCTGAGAGCTGCTCCTTGATTGTGGGAGGCGGAAATGTACTGGCTGCAACCTAAAAGTCCTGGATTTCGACATCCACTCTTAGGAGCATTTTGTCATTTTTACCCCACTAGCCAGAAAGTGATGAAGTAAATCACGAATAATAAGGAAGACATCCTGTTCTGAAATAATCACACTCACGCTCACACACACACAAAAACCCTGGGCCAACTTTCCTTCCTCCCTTCTCTGTTGTTTTATATCATATCATATCATATATATCATATCATATATCATATCGTATATCATCTCATCTGATATATCATATTATATATCATATCATATCAATATCATATATTATATATCATATCTCTCATCCAGCATAGCTGGCTGGAGAATTCTGGGAGTTGAAGTCCACAAGTCTTAAAGCTGCCAAGTTTGAGGACCTCTGTTTTATATTTTAACGCTGCCGCGTTTCTGTAGCGTGCCGCTTTACGTTACTTTTCCGAAAAGCCGATCGGATCTTAAGGGCGCCGGGGCTGTCACTGGTGGGAAGTCAGCTAGCGATTGGTCGGCGGGGTTGGGGGGATTGGGGGCGTGGCCGATATATTACCCGCCGTGTTCTGGAGGACGCTCGGAAGGTCTATTCCCCCCCCCTCCCCTTTTCTCGCAGTGTTGTTTCACGGAGTTTGGCTGCCTGGCTTTCTTAAGACCATATTGCGGAACGGCGGAGGAGGAGACGAGACGAGACGGAAGGACACGGACGGAGAGGATGCGGCGTTGCAGGAGAACCGGAAGCGGTCGCCGCGCTGGGGCCGGGAGGCTGACTTTCGGCGCGCCTTCTCTGAGGTAGCAGGGAGGTTTCCCCGCTTGCTCCCTGCTTTTAGTGCCTTTAGTTTAGACAGTGGAGGAGGTAACCCCTCTTTTCTCTCCAAGCCGCTTCCACCTTATCTCGTTTCTCTGCGATAAGAAAAACCGAATATGCACGTTAGATACCCGAAGTTATGAAGTAAAAAAAAAAATGGTAGATAAACGCACCAATAGCTCTTGGCGGATGTGCGATTCACGCCGCTGTGGCTTTTTTTTGATTCAGTCTGGCATAAGAGCCTGGAAAACACGGTGATAAATCGGGCTTAAGTTAACGATCAGTTATTTGTAAATATATTTTGCAGGCAAATTTTGTTGTAGTTTAGGGTGGCTTTTACATAGGTAAAACCTTCGAAGATCTGAAGAACTATTCATGTAATCCTAAAATAGAAGAAGAAATATGACAAGGTGAGTTTTAGTATAAATGTAAGATTGTTAAGTTTTGATAACTGGAAAAATAAAGCCAAGGTATAATTTGAGCAACAGAAAGCCTAGGATTGGCATCTGATTAAGTGACATTACATGTGAAAATAATTCTTTTAAAAGCATTCTTACTCTCTACAGTGAATACTATTGAACTTGGTGGGATTATTTCTCAATAAAAATGTGTAGGATTGAGTTATGAAGTGCTTCAGCATCTTTTTAGATCTTGCATATTTGCTAGACCAGCCTTTGTCAACCTTTTTATTCTGAATAATATTCAAAGCAACCCTGTGCATAAAAATTGTACTTAGTGTCCAGAGTTCAAAAGTATTTTTTTAAAATCACCATTGCTCATTGAACATCTAGAGACTTCTCATGAAAACCTAGGGCTTCACAAAACCCCCAGTTGAGAAAAGCTGCACTAGACTGTTGTAATATATATTATTAAATCCAAATTCTTTATTTTAGGAACCACTGCTCTAAGAAGTTTACATAATCAATATTTACAGCTTTTCTCTGGAATGCAAATGGCTTAAAGTGCAATCCTGTGCATGTCTATTCCAAAATAAGCTCTCCTGAATTCAGTTGGATTTATTCCCAGGTAAACATGTATAGCATTGTTGCCTGGATATAATTATGTTTAAATTCTTGATTTTTTTTCTTTCATTGTTTTTATGGGTTAGACAAATCATTGGGCCTTCCAGTAAACTTCCTGAAGTTTTTCTTTGGTGCATGTGGTTTTCAAGTATCGGTAATCATCCTAGGAAATAGGTGAGCGAGTCCCTAATATAGTTTGTTTATGTTGCTCTGCTGATGTCTTATGTTTCTTCATTATTAACATTTAGTTGAACTCTTAATTACTTTTTTTTTCTGTCTATTTGCCAGGCCTATGTTAATAGAAAATGTCAGTGAATAACTTCTTTGGAAATAAGAAGAGAAACAGTTCCATATTATATGATGTTGATCAGACAAAAATTACTTCACCTCTCCAGAGATCTATGAGCCATAATAATATTGGAAATCATGGTGAAGGCCTCCCACCAAACAAGCGTTACAAAAGTGTTGTTTCATCCAAGTGTAAAGAAACGGAAGATCCATTTGGGGATAATGATGATTTTACAGTAGATGACTTGAAGGAGATAGACATTATTGCTTCCCAGGCATTGACGCAAGATGTTTCTTCAGAAACAAATTTGTTGAAAACGGAGCAAAATGCTCAGTTGTCCATTTTTCCAAATAGCACCAATCAGTTCAAAACACCTGATCAATGGAATATTGCTCTAACAACTGAGACAAAATCATTGGGTATGTACACAATGAATACAGAAATCAAAACAGTTAAAAAAAACCCTTGTCTGAATAATAAGATAGCATGGAATTACTTGCTATTAAAATTATCTTCCATTTTCCTAGCAAGAAGATAATACTGGTAACCGTGGCAGAACATATGATTGCCTGCTTTTGTTTATTTGTCTTCAGTTTAAAATTAAAGTTCTTAAATAAACCTCAATATTTATAAAGGAGGCATAATTATAAGGCAGGAATGGCTCTATTAAGCCACATCTAACTTCCTAAAACCACTCTGACACCATATTGCTCAATTATGACAGTAAAATGACAGAATTTGGCACTGATTTTTTTATTCAAATTTAAGATTGGGGATCATAGTGGAAACATTTAACTGCTCTGATTCCCATTCCAAATCAGATCAGAATTACTTTTTCTCAGTCTGATTGCAGTGTTTATAGGGTTTTAAGGATGGGAGTAGGAAGTTATTGAGAAACAAACTGTTTCCAGGTCCCTGATTTTAACTCTCCTGAAGAAATATATGAAATTGAGCCCAAAATAGCACTCTGGGAATTTGGAAGAATTTTTTTAAAGATTCAGTTGCAAGTACCTAGTTTGTAAGCCTTCCATTCCTTTTCCCACCCTTAAGAAAAGAAACAAAAGTCAAAAATGGACTAAAAATTTATCTAGCCCTTTACTAAAATCACATTACAATTAATTTCTGTCTATCTACAGAAAATAGCATAGAAGAAATGAAACTTAAAGAAAGATTTAAACTTGAAACAGTCCAAGCACAATTCAAGGAGGCCATGAAAAAGGTGAGATGCAACTCGTTCATGCTTTTTGAAATGTAACCAGGAATTAAGTTCTAGTCCTGAAACTTTTTGATGCAGCTTCTCTTGTGTTCTTGACCATGTAATGCACATGCTATTCAGGAGAAAGCTTCATAGCATTCAGTGGAACTTACTCTTGAGCTAACTGTATATAGAATTGTAAGCTAGACATAGAAGAAACTGAAGCACGCATAGTTTTAAAAAGTTTACATAGTTAAAAAAGGACAATTAGCAGCGGTGGGTTCTACTTACCTTTACTACCGGTTCCCAACGGGGCCGCGCACGTGCGCTCTTCTGGGCATGCGCAGCATTTAGATGACGAGGTCAGTGGGCGGAGCCTCCTGCCGGTTTTACTACCGGTTTTATAGAACCAGTGCGAACCTGGGGCAACTTACCACTGACAATTAGGTAAGAAAATTGTGTGTTTACAAATATTCAAACATATATATAAATTATGAGTGGTTGAAGAAAACATTGATTTAATGAACAGAGAGACCACACACTCATACAGAGTTCAAATAATTTTGATGGTATGCACAACTGTACATACATCTGTGATGTAAAATAGATTTTTAAAATCCTTATAGGTTCATTTTGTCCAAAATAATAATTATTCAAATGGAAGTAAATTTATTAGGACAAATATTGTTAATATAAAGAAGAAATTAAGACCAGATTTTATGCCTCAACAGTTGGCAACATTTGTCAACTTTCTGGCTTGAAAGCTACCCATGATTTGACCTGGATAACATTTGGATAGCAGAACTCCAAGGAATTTCAGGGCTATTGTCTAGAGTTACAGTTTTATAAATGAAAAAAGCTGGTTGCCATCTATGAAATAAAGTAACATAACTTTGATATATTTAAAAAAAGGGAAGCTTTAGAAAGAATATTTTTTTTAGTGCTGTTATTCGACTAAACACTGATAATTAAAACTATTTTTCTATTTTAATCTTATGTTTAAAAAAGTCATGATTGCATTTCTTGAAATGATCTCAATCTTTTATAATAATTACTTGCAATTCACCTGAATGAATATGAAATCTGGTAAATTCTTGAAGCTATCTGTATGATATCTTTGTCAGAATTTATTAATGTATACATTAACCATAGCTAACGTCTAAGTTACTATTGCAGGAAAAACAATTCAATTTACAATTAAGTTATTTTTCTATTAGGCTTTTGAATAAAAATTAACATGTCATCTGCAAATAGATTAATTACATTAATTTTTCAATTATTGTGAATTTGCAGTTGAAAGAAATGCAGGATGAAATCCTTATTAAAAATGGAGAAATAAAAATTTTGCGGGATTCAATGCAGCAGATGGAATCTACTGTGGAGGATCAGCGGAAATCATACATATTACTGGAAAGAGAAAATGCTCAGTGTTTAAATGAAAAAGAAAAGGAATTCTCCAGAAAGGTACTATTTAACAAATGACCAATATAAAATGCATCAAAACTTGAGATCTAAGAAGTCCTTTGTTGAAACTTCTTTTTTTTCCCTTTTTGGAATGACTTTTAAATCATAGATGCTTTTTGAAAATAATCAGCCAAAGTAATCTCACCTGCCCATTTGCCAATGAGCAATGGCATGCAAACTGTTTCTTCCAATGTTGTAAAAAGACAAATGAAAACCAGTGTAGAGGATAAAAAGCATTAGGTCAAAATTGTTGTGATTCTGAATGGTGGCCTTGAGCCAGTCACCCTCTCTCCTCCCTAGGAAGAAGGCAAGGTAAACCACTTTTAAAATCTTGCCAAGAAAACTGCAGGGCCTTCTACAGACAGTTGCCAGAAGTCAAGAGTAACCCCAGGGCACATTGAAAAAAAATGTGTTGCAAGTGACGAACTGTTTGATGTTCTGTTTCCACTCTGGCTGATCTTATTTTTTCATTTATTTATTGAAAGCAACACTTTAGTTGAAACTGAGGGAGGGAAATTATTCTGCTGAAGCACTAGGGCCTGGCATTGGGTACCAGCCAAAGTGGAAGCCTTATTGCATGTCTAGAAGGAATTTGGATCCATGTCCCTTGCTGGAATGCCTCTTGTCCATTCCAGACTAGCTCCTTTTGGCTTTGCTGACGTTAATGTTATTCCAAAGCTCTGCAAGGGGGATTTCAAAAGTCAGATTTGCTTCTCTAATGTCAGCGCTGCTGTTCAATTTCAGACCCCCTAGAGGGAAATGTCATAAAGTCAACGGAGCTCTGGGAGACTTCCAGCAATCACAGGAATGCAGGCTGATTATGTGTGTTTGGTTGTTTTTTTTTTCATAGCTAAATAATATATTCACACAACCTCCTTTTCATCTATCTATCTATCTATCTATCTATCTATCTATCTATCTATCTATCTATCTATCTATCTATCTTTTGGTACATCTTAACTGAAGCATCCTTGTTCCTCTAGTAATTTAAAACAAGATGATTGTACAAGCACTCTGCACTATTACATTGAAAATGAATAATTTCCACAATATTTTTAGCTAAATTGCTATAATAATTGCTTCTGCTGTCTCTCTTTTTTGTGCATGTATGCGGAAAGCGCAAAATATTCATGCTTTTAAGAGACAAGCTTTTTATTATGTTTTTAAATACTGTGTAGTGTTTACCTGGGAATACTAGCACTTTCTCAGAATGGCAGAACATACCTTTTCCCTGTTTTGATGAATAAGCTGTTAGTATTGATTTTGGTGTAACTGAATGGAGCAAAAGTATAAGTGAAAGTGAGGAAATATTTACAGGCTTGTTTCATAGTTGTATATTGTTTTTTATGCTCAATGGAATTTGAAATGTCTAATTCTTTGCTCTTTTAGTTACAGTCACTGCAATCTGAACTACATTTCAGAGATGCTGAAATGAATGAGCTGAGAACAAAGATTTTGAATTGTGAAAGGATTAAACCTGTGGCCCCTGTTTCATATACCAGGTACACAATAAGATGAAATTTGTTTCAGGGAGTTTGGTTACTGAAGAATTTCCTTACCTCCCATTTATAGCTGAAAATAATTAATTGTAGGACAGTTCTTTTACAAGCTATAGAGCAGACACTATAATTGAACACATAGAATAAACTCCTCAGAATTTATTTTTAGAGTTTGAATATACAGGGTGCTCTTTTTATGCTTGGAGGATATGCCATATGAAGAGATTGCCTTTTATTTACTCCATTGTGATTGTCTAAAATTGTTATTCAGATTTTTTCATTGGGAAATATAATTCACTATAAATGTTTTAACTATATTTTTTGGGGGGGAAAACCTTTTAAAGTTTCAAAATGAAATGCCCCTGTGCAATTAATTCAGACTTTTTACTTTTTAGTCCTAAAAAAAGCCCCTCTAAACCTCTGAAAAGTGAAAGATGTACTCATATTGAAAAAAAAAGTTATCCCACAGAAGAGTCTTTTGGATCTCGGGTATTACCAATACCATCTTGCTCCAGGACCCAATCCCATGTCCAAGCTCCTCAGGAAAATAATGGTAGGTAGATTTTTGGTGAACTTTTATTTGACCTGGATAGTGAGGGTGGAACAGTAAATCTTAATTTAGCACATATTTTGTGGGGGATTGAAACAAGGTTGAGAAAGAAATTGTAGAGAGGGGAGGTGAGAGAGAGAGACAGAGCACAGAAACCACCAAGAGAAAATGAACAAGTTAGTAATTTATCTCATAAATAACAATTTAGCCCAAGAAAGAAATCAAAGAATAAATGTTTCAAATCATTCAAAAATAATTCACCATAACTAACTGATATGGTTGGGAAATTCCTCTTACATATAGGGAAATTCCAAGATTCTATATTTACCCAAGATTACCATTAGCAATATCTCACTGAAATCTGTCTCCACAGCTGTGTGGAGCTAGCAGGAAACAAAATTCCTATGGTATTCACATCATTTTATGTTAATTGTGAAATGGTGTCATTATACAATTGATATAATTTGTGTAACAACAGCATTGTGGATTATATTGTAGCAATGCGGAAAGCCATTGTATTTCAAAGAGCTGAGTGCCATATTTTGATTGCTCCTGCAGATTAAGAACATTCTAGAAGTTAAGAGCTTATTCTGAGGAAACCTGCTTGTTCTTCACTCTTGCTTGCTGAATAAAGGAAAAGGGGAGGGGGGAAATCTTCACACAGCTGCAAAGCTTTCCCCATCTGGAAAGTTCATCATACATTAATTCCCATCCTTGAGTTATGCACCCACCCACCCACACATACTGAATCAAAGTTAGGTCTTGCTGTCTCATGACCATGGAAGCAGGGTCACAAAGCCTTAGAGCTAGATTTTAATTTAAAAAATCTATTAAAACTCTCTGAGCCTCTGCTCAGGTTTGAGTGCTCAGCATGGGCACCCAGGGTCTTGGGATATCTCCGCTGCTTGACATGGGCAGTTGAAGGGAGAATATTTTGTTTGGTAGATTATGCTTTCTTGAGTTTCTGATTAATTTGCCTACTACAGTTAAAGAATAAAGCTTGAAATCTCCTTACTGATGTATTTATTGTCTCTGGGTCCTCAAAGAACCAATTGTCTAGCACTTGGCCACTGCTGGACCCTTGACAAAACAGATGTACCCTCTAATTTAATGGACAGTTAAGAATAGCAGACATTCTTTCCCTAGTTGGTCCATTAAATCGGTATTTTACTGTATATAACTGTGCCTCATTTAGGAAAATAGTAATTTTGCTGGACTTCAGTGAATAGGGTCAAGCTTAGTCTGCATAGGGTTAGGCATTAAGGGAAGTTGTGAAGCAGATACTGGTCTTTCTCTAAAAAAAACTTCTGATGATAGCTTCTAGAATTCTATTACTGCCCGACAAGAATTTGCAACTGAATTCTCTTTAATTGAGGCCATATGGTTCTGAAATATAGTGGTTGCAGTGTTTTGATCTGTTTATTTTCTGAAGTTGAAAATGCATTTCAAACCTGTATCAGTTAAGTCAATCCCAAAAACTGATTGCATTGTGCTAGAAGGGCAACATAGAATAGGCTAAAAACAAATACTATTTGGTTTATTGAATTTTTCTATCCAGACAGCAAAACAACTGTCCTTGAAACTGAGCCAGTGAAGCAAGAAACAAGTTTCAGCTGTCCTCAGAGACCAGGTAAATTCAACTAAGAGATCTTGTGATTATTTATTTGTTAGAATTGGAAACCTGTATGAATTAAAATCATTGGCTATTTTAATATTAATTTCAACTATATGGGGGGAGAGGGAGGAGGAGGTTTGCGCAAATAAAGTAAAAAAAATTGTGTTGGATCTGCAAATCACACTTTCATTTATTAATAAATGTATGATTGTATTTTTGTTCTGCCATAGAAATGAAATATTTCCAAAGTCACTGGAAGTGGAGACCTATAAAAAATCTTTACTTTCATATTCTAGATACTGAATGCACTCTTTCCTAGAATGATTTCTGCTTACCACCTTGAGCTATAAATTAAAGTATATAAAAAATAAGAAAAATAAAGTCACCTTAACTTTAAATGTTAACAGTTTTAGCTTAATATTGGCATCAGCTGTTCTGACTACGTTAACATATTTCTGTTGATGTACATTTTGAATTAAGTTGTTCAAGGTTTTCTAATTACCATATATGTAGGTCTTAGGAAATATCTTGGCATAATCATCCATTAGGGTTGGTTAACAAATATCTGGTTGACTAATCCCTAATCAGTATTCTAAAGGATGAAATCAGAAATTGAAAAACAAGTGTTTTTTAATAACATTAAAATTTCAGTTACAGTTAAGTGGCTCTGATTACATTAACGAGTTACAGCTGTATTGCTGCTATAACTTTAACATTTTTCCAAAAAAATTGTTATTAAAATTAACTAATTGTTTTTTTCTCAATATAATAGTGTTGCTTATATTATGTGAGCTAATGCTAAGTCTAGGATTTTTCACTTGGCACCTTGTAAATGTTTCACCTAACATCCAGAAAATAGATGTGGATGGTGTCTGAACCTGCTTCTTTTCATAAGCACTGTGTTCTCTTATGAATGCAAGCTAAATGTATTTATTCTCACACACACACACACCCCAAACCATATGCTACAACTTTAAGGCATATGGTATAGTGAGCATCACTGTGAAATGTACCAAGTAAGTAAATGCAAAAGAAGAAAATACATTAATTTGGGCATATGGTGGGGAGGAAGGCATTATTTTGCTATAAGTATTTATATAAAGCTATTAAATGTATAATGATTATGTTCACTTACTACTCAAAGCCAGGATTTTAATCAGAATTTCTTGCATAAGATGTAGCAGCAATGGTTTTCACATAATGCAAAATAATGCACCAAGCTAAAATTAAGCAAAGTATATTATTGTTTCAGCTGTTTAATACACTATGTATCTTGCTTCTCTGTGTGTGACTTCAGCCTTGGATTTATCTATTGTAGGTTCCCTTTTACTGAATGCACTGTTGAAGCAGCCACTTGTTCCAGGATCATCATTAGGAATCTGCAACCTTCTTAGCAGCAACACTGAAGCTTGGTTTGGATCTGCTATGCAGTCTGCTTCTTTCAGTGTGTAGGTTTGCCATTTTCACATTTTCTGAAACAGGAAGAAATCAGATTGCTGAAACAGATGGGTGGATATTTTGGGACAACATTTTATCAGATGGACGCAGGTTTACTTTATCTCATTGTTTTTAGATAACTTGATTGGGTAAATCTAGGAAGTTGCTCTACTGAGAATACTGAACTTTTTTCTCTGGTGGAATTTTATTCTAGCATAGTAGTCAGGTAAAGAAGTTGAGGGATTCAATTACTCAAAGTATGTCTGAGGTTGGGTTTTTCCCCCCATTTATTTTTGACCTCTCTGCTGATTAAACTGTGCCACTAGTGGCATAACATTTTATATATTTTATATCTTTATATCTGCTGGTCCAGATGAATTGTAAGAAATCCTAATCCTTTCTAGTTAATGCTAATGGAAGATATAATTGTATCCTTAATGTATCTTAGAAATTAAAAACATTTCTCTTTCCCTCTACCACAGGCAGTGACAACCATAATGCTTATGTGGAAACTAATTTACAGCAGTTTTTTTATGAGAAAGAATATTAAATTAAGACAAACTCTCCTTATAACAGTATATTCTTAAACCCCTTTGCAAAAAATGGCAGTAATATCCTTGAGCCCATTTACCTGGTGCATCATATGTGTTCTAGTTTCAGAAGATGCACAGAACATCACAAGGTACTTATTTTTTCCCCCTCTTGTTTTCTTAAGAGGACCTACACAAAAGAACAATAACAAGATTACAAGCCTTCAGGAAGGTGAGACTTCATTGAGAACTACTCAAAAACTTGCCTTAACTGGATTGAATTTGATTGCTGTAGATGGAGGCTCACTGGAAGGACAACAAAACAGGAGACACGTCCCCCACCTTAAATGCGTTAAAATCCCTGGAGCAGTACATCTTCTCCCCCTCCTGGAACTTCACATTGGTGCATATAATCAAGCCCTCTTGTCAGTGACGAAGACCGGAAGCATTTCTTCTGGGAATCAATCTGCTTGCACCTCCGGGACATCTTCAGGTGCAGCTTCAAGTGTAGAGGACACTTTATCCACTCTTGAAGAGTATGCACTCGTGTCACTGGGCATTCTTTACTATTTAGTGTTTTATAGCTGGGAAGTTATTAATACACTTCTGTCCCATGATAAAAAAGCAGATTGTAATCCAGGAGCTATAGATGTTTCTGAGAAGAATGAGACTGTGGCTTGCAGTAAACAGGATACAGCTAATCTTCAGGAAACCATCCCAGAATTAGAGGTTGCCAGTTTGGACAAATCCCAGCATCCTTTGTTTAAAAAGCTACTACAACTCTTAAGCTTGTGTGTAACATCAGCAGGATGCCAGAAGTGCCATATCGCAAATCAGTGCCTAAAAGTTTTGGTGAAATTAGCTGAAAAGTCAACAGTTGACTTATTAATAAGGTAAAAGTACAACTTGAATTTAACCCCATTTTTATTTTTAAATAATTTTGTTTCATGGCATTCTCATATGACATAGCTCATTTGTTTAAAAATATGCAGGTTGATTGTTTTGTTCTGGGTTCTAAAACAGCCTCTCCCAATTTGGACATCCTCCAGATGTGTGGCTTCAACTCTACAAATTGGCAGCCAGTCTATCCATTGCTGAGAACTTGGGGAATCAAAGCCACCACATCTGGAGGTCACTCAGGCTGTTCTGTATCTTCTAAGCATTATTGCAAAATATGTGGAACAAAGTTATGCTGACAGGACATCCAGGCTGAATCACCTTGTTGTGAGCCCAGGAAAAAAACAGCTGTTTTAAAGTAAGGCCAACAGGTATGATGTATGACCTACATCTCCTTATGAAGCACTTTTGGATCTGAATTGCTTCATTTCAGTTCTGTTCTCTGCATGATTACTTTTGATTGCTCAATATAAATCAACTGCTGGAAAAAATCAGACACTGAATGGCATTTTCTTCTGTTTTTCTATACAGCTTTCAGTGCTTGTTTGATAGCCAGTCACAGATCCTGCTTCGCTGTATATCTTCAGAAACTCCCTTGTTTGCTGTTCTTCTTACTGTTAGGATGTTAAGTTTGCTTGCTGAGCATCAGGATCTGGCTGCTCGGTTTTGTTCATGTTCAGGTAAGAAAGAGAACATCTTAGCCATCCTACTGCGTTAGTAAAACACTTGAGTTAATAAGGCAAGTAAGGGCATTTTAAAATATAATTCCAAAGTTTGGGTGTTGTTTGAGGATTTTTGTATTTCCCTGTTTATTTTAAAATCTTTTAACAGTTATCAAAATGTTGGGTCTCTGACTTGGTGGCATATACAGTATCATTCTGTGAAATAAAATAGTTTTAGAGATGGTTCTGGAAACATGTTCACCTTCCAACCCTGTAAGTAAATGGCTAAAATCAGTTTGCAAGAAGAGAATATATAGGTTTTATGTTTTATGTTCCTAAACTTGTAAAAATTGAACAAGTTTGAATGAGCATACTGCGGTTGAAGACTCTTCTTGGTATAACAACATCTTGTTCCATCAACTGGAATATTTTACTATATTCTTGAGAGCGTCCAAGCAAATTATCTTGCTTTCAGTCCCTCTGAGAGAAAAACTGTATGTGAAATCTAAAAGTGCTAAAGTGGTCATGTACTCGCCACAGGACAGCCAAGAGAGTTATAATTTCTGCACAGATTGTTTACTGTGGTACAGGACCACTGGTGCAACCCAGTTCCTCGCCCATAATATTATTTTTGAACAAATGACACATTTGTGGAGTGAGAAGAAGAGGAGACAGATACAGTCAGATAGATAAAATTAGGGGAGTTATGGCTGAAATGCTTATTTCAAAAGTGCTCTATGTTAGGAGCAGGCAACTGAACCCTCAGACATTACTGAGTTGTAAGGATTAAGGAAGTTGTTTCCAAACACCAGAAGGGCACCCCTTTGAAGGTATTAATTTAATGTTTCCCTCTTCTGAGGGTAACACCTAGCATTCACTTTGAAATGAACTTAAACCGTAGTATCTAATTTTTGTCATATAGAAAATGTGGAGCACACTGTATTCAAGAGAGCATGGTAGTTTTTAAGACATTGCAGTCACATGAATGATAATGTTGATATGTTATACTTAATTCTTTTCACAGAAACCTGCCTACTTTTGGCATTATACATGTACATCACATCACGCCCTGATAAATTAGCATCTGAAGGGCTTTGGCTGCAGTTGGAACAAGAGGTAAAAGTGTATTGCATATTTGAAGTTAAAAACATGACTGTCCTTTGAACAGGAGAGATTAAATGCAGGATTTGAGCTTTTGAGTAATCATATTATAAAAATACAAGTTTATCTTTATCCTGCCTTCCAACTGAAAACCATACATTTGTATCAGTTTCTAAGCCTCCAAAGCTATCTGAGCTATGGTTCAGCTTTTGGGGGTGAGATGGAGTTAAAGGGTTGCGTATGTTGCAGCCCTGACTTTTTTCTGAACATTGCTGGAACCAAGTTTACATAATAGAGAAACGTAATCTAAATACATTAGTTATGCTAGTATGAGGGATTAAACTGAATTTAAAAAACTGATGCTTGGGATATTTACTTGAAAATCCTCCCTCCTTTTTCTTTGTTATTTCAAGAACATTTGTTTAGTAGGTTTGGGACCAGAGAGATGTAGGGTTTTCTTTTATTTTGATGCTACATGTTTTATCTTTTAAAATAATATTTTAAAAAATATGTTGTGTTCATTTTTTTTAGACGGTTCGTTTTCTGACCAAGTGTATGCAGTGTTGTAGATCCTCTGTTTTACTTGTGGGAACAGATTGCCAGTGCACTTCTGAGGTAAGCCACTAAAAATTACATTTATGATCATAATTTAATACTATATGCTTTTTTTCACCTGAAAAAAACAACATGACTCTGGTGTTACCTGTTCAGTCTTACGGTCAGGGTATATTGCTTAAGTATACCTTGTAATCTCCAAACCGTGGTCCTCTTATAATAAGAATCTCATATGTCTGTATTACAATGGTACTATTCCAAAAAGAGAACAATTATCAATGTAACAATACACATCCCAATCTCTATGAGAACTGTATTCTGTTTTCTTGCAGGCAGTGAAAGCTCTGATAGTAATGTTACATAGGCAATGGCTTTTGATCAGAAAAATGGAAGGAATCGTGTTCAATGGACATGAAAAGCAAATTGTACAGTTTTTGAGGGATGCTGTTTTGCTTCTGCATGGTCTCTCCCAGAAAGATAAACTTTTCCACGAACATTCCCTGGAAGTGCTCCACCAATACGATGGTGTCTTGTCTGGGGTTACAGCAGTCCTGAGAAAAGGGCAGCATTTAAAAGCTTGTGAAGGTGAGACTCCTTGCATTAAACGTGACTACTAAGGTAGGCAGTGATCTGCCACCTGCAAGTGCATGCAAATGCATTCTAACATTCATTCATTTTCTCTTGTCATAATATAGCATAGAAAGGCAACAGATGCAGAACTAAGTAAACAAAACCTGTGCTATTTGGGTCCATTGTCATTGCTGCTTCTACAGTTTGTAACTGCATGGTTTGCTCTGTCATGAGGATACATTATACTCATTTTTCATTGATTCATACCGTGTGTCCAAAAAAATAAGAGCCTGTCTTAGATTTTTTTGAACCCTGAAATAAGTGTTTGGCCTTATTGCCATGTGCTCAAAAGCCCGATTGGGCTTATTATCAGGGGATGTCTTATTTTGGGGGAAACAGGGTAGATTTCTCTAAGAGCTACTTTTAACTAATCATCTCCTGTCAAGAGTGACAGGCATCAAATTAGCAGAAACACTTTTCAAGGCCATATTCTTTCCCAGGACTAGTACTTCAAATACATTGAATGGGATATTATGAAGCAGTGTGAGGACCAAGAATTATAAAGGATATGTTTCATTGAACTTTTAGTTTTCCTAAATTCCTGTGGAACACATTTTATTTCCTACTGGTATGTTTGTGGCTTTTAAAAAAGTTCTGGCACCACTGTAATTGAGCCATTGGATGATCTTATTGTTTAGCACTCACTTGGCACTCTGCCCCCTTTGGATTTTTAAAATAGAGATGGGAAGTTTGACTTTGAAAGGAGCATTTTGCTTTTTGCCTCTTGGTGCTTTGTGACCCTAGCAGCCATTTTGGGAGTGCACCCACAACATCCTCTCTAAATTCCTGCAATCCTCCCAGGTAAAACAGACAGGAAACACAACCAGATGAGCTAATTCTTCTTTATTGTAAGGCTATATTAAACCAGACAGGAAACGTGACCAGATGAGGAAATTCTGCTTTATTGTATAACCACCTAAACAGAGTTTGAAAGTACAGCTCTCCCACCGACTCTTTTAATTTCCTGATCCATTAGGGTGAAACCTTCCTAAGTTTCCTTCCTTGACCATGAAGCCACTGGGGGCTTCCCCCTCTCTTGTCTGATTGTTTCCTAGGAAGAATGTCTTCTCCTCGTTCCTAAGGGTCATTCTCCCATACTATTATAATTTCAGAAGTGTGCACTGGCTCCAAAACATTGGGAATAGTTTAGAGACTATCCTAAAGTTACTTGTGTCAAACCATTACTTGTTAATACTACTTTTTTAAAATTTAATACAGAGTTGTATATATTTGGAAGGAAATACCCTTTAATATGTGGCTGATAAAAGTCCCCCCTAATAAAGTATTGTTGAGTTGTATGCGTTCCTTGTTTGTAGACACAGAAGTTTGCATTCTTCCAAATAAGATGATTGAATTATTCAGCTCAGGAATGGCTCTCTCAAACTCTTTTCTCTAGCCTTCAATTGCTGAAAATTGGTGACATTGTTCCCTCCCATTTTGAAGTGAAAAATGCAAGCTTGCTATAATTAAAAAGCAAATTTCCCAAACTTTCTGTTGCAGCCTAGGGTTCAGAATTTTTTTAAATCTTTTGAATCAAATTCTTCCCTCAGCAGTGTTCTTAATTGATAACCATCAGTGCTGAGGCTCACCTTGGCTCCTTGGAACTTCTCTTGCAGAATAGATCCTTACTTGCATTGGTAGCAAAGGAAGTAGATGTGAGCATATTAATCTGAATTCTGTAAGGGTGTCTAAAACAAATAGATTTTATTAAACATCATAGAGATCCAGACTATAAGATGGTATTCATAACTTCAGTCTTTCAAAAAAAGGAAACAAGATTACTAGGTCTTTTATAATTATCCTCATGAATTAGAATTTTTTTAATGGAATAGTTTTATCCCCAGGTCTCTGCAGTATTATTGTTGTTGTAAAATGTACCTTTGTTTTTGAGTTATTTATTTTTATTTTATTTATTTTATTAAAATTTATATGCCGCCCTTCTCCCGAAGGACTTGGGGCGGCTTACAACAGTAAAATCACAACAAAACAGCAATAATAAATAAGATTAAAAGATTCAATTAAAATCCCACAATTAATTAAAACTCCCAAAACAGAATCAGACAATTTGCTTAAAAAGCCATGTCTTCAGGTCTTTGCGGAAGGAACAGAGATTAGGGGCCATCCGGAGCCCGGTGGGTAACTCGTTCCAGAGGGTCGGTGCAGCCACAGAGAACGTCCTCGTCCTGGCGCCGTCAGCCGACATTGTCTGGCCGACGGCACCCAGAAGAGGGCAGCCCTATGTGAGCGCACTGGGCGGTGGGAGGCCGGTAGGAGATGATCCTGCAAGTACTCCAGGCCCATGCCATGAAGGGCCTTATAGAGAACCAACACCTTGAAGCGAATCCGAAGGACCACCGGCAACCAGTGCAGCTTGCGCAGGAGAGGTGTAACCCGGGAGTATCGGGAAGCTCCCGTAATAACCTGCGCGGCCGCATTCTGGACCAGTTGGAGCCTCCGGGTGCACCCAAGGGCAGCCCCATGTAGAGGGCATTGTAGTAGTCCAGATGAGAGATAATGAGAGCCTGAGTGACTGTATAGAGGGCATCCCTGTCTAGGTAAGGTTGCAACTGGCGCATCAGGCGAACCTGTTCAAAAGCCCCCCTGGACACGGCCATCAGATTGTCTACTAAAGACAGCCGCGAATCCAGGAGAACGCCAAGGTTGCGAACCCTTTCAGAGGGAGTAAGCAACTCCCCTCCCATCAAAAGTGGTGGGGCCGCTAGATCCTGGGATGCTGGCATCCACAGCCACTCTGTCTTGGAGGGTTGAGTTTGAGCCTGTTCCTACCTATCCAAACCCTCACCGCCTCCAGGCACTTAGACATCAAGTTAGACTTAGACATCGAGTTAGACTTAGTATCCCACCAAACTTCCTTTCCAAGATTACACCAGCTATTTTATAACTTGGAAGGGGAGAAGAGAAACTCATTTTTTTCTGCTTTAGAAAAACTACTTTTGTTGACCTTATAGAGAAAACTCAGATGTTCATTCTTTTTGTACCTACTCAAAACATTGTGTCCTCTTTTCATTAGCTACCTCAGTCAACTTTTCCTTGCCTACAGTGGCAAAAGTGTATTTCATACATGTAACCTTCAAATCCCATTCCTTTATTTACATATATCAGGTTCATTAATTTCCAGAGTAGAAACTCCTGGATCCACCCCATTTTGCCGCCTCCTGACATACAGTACAAACTTCTGTCTTCAAAAGTGTTCAATGCAATTCCCTGATTCATCATATGTTGCTCACTTTTGATCTAATTTAGTGCTGTCTTGAGGCTGACCGCATGTCTCTTGGGGTTTAGACTGCTATGGACTGAACTTGGAGCCTACTTTTTATAAGCAATATGCTCTTCTGCTAAACTATAAATTTTCCTATCATTTGAATAATGGCTAAGCCAATTAGGAAGGGTTTGGAGATGATTCTCATATCTTCACTTTGTAAATAAAAGTGTCACAGATTGAATACAGCATTGTCTCTTAAACTTATAAATGATAAAATGTGTTTTTGGTATGCTAGTATTTTCAGTGTGCAAAGATGCACATTTTTTGGCTCATTAGTTTTCACAAGTATATATAGTCAGGAGGGAGCATGCAGCCTGTTCAGTTCCCGTCAAGGGGTCCATGACAATTCGCCAAGGCCAACTCACCACAGCTAACTTGCCACGGCCAACTCGCTGCAGGACAACTTGCCACTTCCATCTCGCCACAGGACAGCTCGCTGCGGGACGAGAGTTACACTAATATCAAAGAAAAGGTAGAATAGAATCATTAAAGGATGCAAAAGGAGGGACAGAATGAAATGTGAATGGCAGAAATTAATTTTAAATTTTTTTAAAAATAATTAACTAGAATTGTTAAATTGTCCTGCAGCAAGTTATCCGATGGCATGTTGGCCGTGGTGACTTATCCAGTGGCAAGTTGGCTGCAGCAATTTGGCCATGGTGAGTTGGTCATAGCAAGTTGTCCCATTTCTCCTGTAAAGCTAGCCTGCATGCCAATTGCAAAGAATTAAGAGGGTAGGAGTTTCAATTTCTTGAGGTCACCAAGTTGCCTACCTCAGCTTTACTAACCCTTCAGTTATTACTCTGCATGATGGACAGGAATTTGACTCTATTAAAATACTGCTACATTTAGACAGTAGCAGTGTTGAATAAATATGGTATTTTTTTAAAAAAAATCTTATACATTCTACATTCTTTCAGAACTTGCACTGGATGAACTGTATTCTTTGGAGCCCGAAGTCAGTGACCAGGAAATGGATTGCAGATAATCGTCTTTCAATAATGTATTTGTTTACTTTCCAGAAAAGGTTACTATTGAAATTGAATTCAATGCGCTTTTTAAAATTTACAATGTAATGCATAAAACATTTCAAATATTATCAGAAACCATCACAATCCAAGCAATATATTACTTTTGTATTGAATAAATTCCCATAATGAAACATACATTCCCAAAGAATATATTAAAAATGACATCTATAAACTTTAATCTTTGTGCCTGAGGAGTTATTTACAGTTAGGGTTAGAAGTAGGTGATCTTCAGGAATATTATTCTCATTAAATCTCCAAGTAGAACTTGATGAATCTCATTTTCTTAAAATGCTTTATGAATTAGTAGGGATTGTGTCTTTTTTAATCAACAAGGACATTTTAACGTGTATTTCACTGGTCCAGTTACAGAAAAATGCTCATGTTTTTGAAAATACAGTTTCATATCTGAAATTCTATACTGTATACCAATGGATAAAACTGAAATAACTTATGCTTATTTCTGAATAAATCTCTGTAAACACTATAAATGAAAGGCTAGAAAACCAAGATAATAAGTATTTGTAATCTGTTGTTTACTATGAAAGAAATGGTAAAAGAAATAAATTCTGATTTTTTTCCCCCTGTGACTAGAAATTACAGTTAACATCCTGTGTTTTCTGGTGTCCATCCTTTTGGAGAATTGCAGTTTGTTTTTATTCTCCACAGGAAATTTGTAATCCTTAATTTAAGTGGGATTTGGATTCTGTATATCAAATACCATATAGAAATAATATTTAGTCTCCATGTGAGGAAATATACCCTATAATATTAATTTTCAGAATCTCTTTATTTTGTATTGTTATAGTGTAGTGTAGGAATTACATACCGTAGTTGAACAATAATACTTAGCAATTTATGACTGATATTGAAAAAGTAAGCAGTATTAATATTTGGACTAGACTGGATTAATATTTAGTGGAAGTCATGAGATACTTTTAGGGCTAAAGATAAGACAAGGAAGTTTTAAAATAAATAAATATAGAAAAAGGCAATGACAAACCACTTCTGAATTGTTGCCAAGAAAACAAAATTGATGCTTCCATGAAGTCACCAAGATATTTTCCTCTGCAAATTGTCCCAAAAATGCTTTTTCAAGAGGCAACTGGCAACTACTCTGCAAGTTATCTGTTTCAAGTCTGGTGATGGTACTACAGCTCCAGGCATCCACAGCCAAGATGTTGTAATCCTTGTGCTATGAATAGAATAGAATAGAATAGAATAGAATAGAATAGAATAGAATAGAATAGAATAGAATAGAATAGAATAGAATAGAATAGAATAGAATAGATAGACAGTTGGAAGGGACCTTGGAAGTCTTCTAGCCCAAACCTCTGCTTAGGCAGGAAACCCTATACCATTTCAGACAAATGGTTAACCAATCTCTTCTTAAAAACTTCCAGTGTTGGAGCATTTACAACTTTTGGAGGCAAGTTATTAATGTCACTCCTTTCAACTAGGTCTTAAAATATTGAATGATCTATCCATGATTCCCACTCTGCATTCTAGCAGCATTCCCCTCCCTTTTAAAAACTTGCAACCATTATCATTCCTTGAGGGTTAGGTGAAAAAAAATTCAACTGAAATACCTTTTTTTCTTGCAGTTGTGAGTGTATTTTAAGTCAACATTATCTTAGACAATAGTATTCTAAGACATTCCACAGTAGAGATCCATTTGAATATATATGTATTTTAAAGAACATTAAAAGTTTGAGCTTTCTCGTGTTGTGCAGTTTTCAGTGAAATTGGAGGTTAGGATTTACCTTAATTAAGAATTCACTTTAATTATTCAGAGCAGAATCCAAGTAAATATTGACCAGTGACTCACTAACATTACAATTGTGCCATTGTGAATGTAATGTCAACATCTGTTACATAAACCAGTGCAATAAGCAAAACCAAAGACTCAGTGCGGTAAGAAAAGAAAATTTATTTTGAATGTCATGTTTGTTCAAAGTTCAGTATCATTATGTTGCATATGGATTTTAGTGGCCTGATTTAGAAGCTGGTATGATTTAGCAGAAGTAGAACTGGAGAAGAAGCCCAGATAGGGCCTTGGAGTACAGAAATAAAGCCTGATGAGCTAACCTGGCTGATAGCCAGGACTTGTAAAGTCCGGATGTAGACAGCATTTCTATCAGCCAAACCTTGTATGTGGCGGGTGGAGGGGTGGGAGGGAACCCACCACTTCAGTTGCTGGGGACATTCTACCTGTCTGACTTGTGAAAGAGACCTAGCATCCCCGTTTTAGCAAGTGTTGCAGAACATGTTATTAGGAGAGTGCTAGTTTTGGAGAGAAACATGATAATCATACAAGAATCTCTGTGCTTGCAGTTACCTGGAGCAAGGAGGCAAAGATGATAATGGGAGGTTTCCTTTGCAGAAGAAAAGCAAAATCTCAGATAGGAAGACGAACTACCTCCAATGTGGCGGACAGATGCTTGGAATTTTTGAAGTACCTCAGACCAGGAAAGGCTGGGAAGGCCCAGAGGGAGATGCATCACACAAGGTCTATACAAAGTGGCCAGCTACCAAAGATCCAAGCAGAGATGACATGCTGAGTACTTTCCACAGCAGTACAACCAATTCCCCTCCCATCTCTTGCTTGGGAAATGGACTAGAACAGGGGTGTCAAACTTGTGGCGTCATAGCATCACGTGACGTATCGAGACTTTTTTCCCCCCTTCACTAGGCCAGTGTGTGACACATCTGGCCTACCGGCCGCATGTCACTGCATTTTTGTATTTACCAGATGAGCTCACATTTTTGGATTTTCAGACTTTCCGTAGCTTGCCAAGTTCTTATCAGTAACTGATACTACGCATGTCCGCATTCCTTTCCTTCTTCTATATACTTTCTTTGTTCTCCTGCCAGGAGAGGTCCGGCTGCAGAGAGGTGGCCGGCAGGAACGTTGCCAAAATGTAATTATTTAGATTAGTAAGATGTTTTATTTTCTTTATAACAAATAAATGAGTTTTTCTTATATCTTCGGGTTTATTTTCTTAATGTATACTTGCAAGGAAAAGTCTTGATCCACGTCTCTAAATCAAGGTGCGATTACCCAAAAGCAGAATGGGATTAATTAGCATCCTGACACCGCAAGTTTGACATTCCAGGACTAGAAGAAAAAGGTGAGGAAGCTGTAGTTTAGTAATGGCGCAAGGGCTTGTTAACTAAAGAGCCCTGAGAAAGAGGCTGGGAGAAAGTGACATATTTGTAAGTGGAAGTTCCTAATCGTTGTAAGTAGTACTTAGTAAAAGAATCATAGAATTCCCTACTATCTCTGTTATTGTGAAGCAGTTACTCTTAGTTAAAAATACATTCAGCAGCCAAAAACACGTGACACATTAAGATTGATGTAATGTTATGTCTGGGAAAAGATAATAATTTTAGACCCTCTCATCAAACTGGAAAGAACTCTTCAGGTAACTTCTCCAAAACAGCTACACTGGAAACTGGATTCAACCATAGCAAACCACAAATTATATGTTAAATCCAGTTGTGGATCACATGGTATGAGCTTCCATCTCCGTGTTCATGTATGGAAAGAATTTTTAAAAACTACTTGGTGCCCAGAATTCCGTAAATAAAAACGAATGCTAATTCCTCCGATTTTGAACTTCAAGGCCAGAACCATCGTTCCACTTCTGCAGCTGGACACCCAAAAACAAAACTCTTCTGAAAGGTAATCAAGGGATTTGATTTGATTGGCCATTTTCAAAGCAAACAAGTATGGATAGTGTGAGGTGCCAATCCATTAATTATATGCTTTCCAAACACCACTCGGCTGCATTGTGAGGCCTCAAAGTATCTTTTGCCTCTTTTTTTTAATAGGAGAAAATTATGTTATTAATTTCACAGCTCTCTTTTATTCAGCACTTGTGTTACTATCTTAAGAGGCACAAGATAAATGTGTACAATTTAGATCAGGGAAAAGTGGAATCTGGCTCTCAAGATGTCAGGTTGGAGTTCCCACCATCCATTATCAGTGGTTAATTTTAGCCCAGCGCACTTGAAGGCTTCAATGAGCCCTGGACCCTAGCATGGATATTTTAGATGGAAGATTTTTTTTGAAAGTATGGTATCTCAGAACAGGGTAGTCCTCAACTTACGACCAAAATTGGGAATGGAATTTCTATTGCTAAGCAATGCCATTAAGTGAGCTGTGCCTGATTTTATGACCTTGTTGCTGCAGTCATTAAATGAATTCATCTTCCCCACTGACTTGCTTGTAGAAAGCTTCCTAGGAAGGCTGCAAGTGATGATCATGTGACCCCAGGATGTGTCATAAATACATGCTGGTTGCCAAGTGTCCAAATCATGATAATGAGATGGGATGCTGTGATGGTCATAAATGTGAGGACTGGTCATAAATTACTTTTTCAATGTGGTTGTAACTGAACAGTTGCTAAACATATGGTGTATAGTGTAAGTCAAGGACTACCTGTAAATTCCTTTTCCCACATTTTATCCTATGGAAGTATAGATTTCAAACCTTGTGTTTTGGCTTCTGCCAACTCTGTATTTTTTTTTTTTTTAATCCTTTGTGCCTAATGGTGAAAGCACACCGGCTGTGTCCTCACTTTATTTTGGGAAAGGCTCTTATTCTGAATATAGCTTTGATGAGATTCTATTCTCTCTAGACTTTAAGCTTCTGACTGTGTTTGGATTTTATCAAATATGTATTCAAGCTATATATATTACAACTTTCTAAAAATATTTTTTCTGTCATTATTAATCCTTTTTGTAACTTGCAGTTTTAAAATAAAGTTTCTGCATTTTCGCGCTCTTCTAGCATTCTGGCTAGCGGGAAAGGAAACTTTCTGGTGTCATCTTCTGTTCACTAGATAGACGACTCATTTTCTCTCTGGATGTGTTCAAGATTAATCATAGATCATTAATTAAGATCATGTCTCTTATTATTTTTAACTTGATTGCTAAAATTGTCACAAGAAGTGTGTGAGTTTGACTTGTTCTTATCAGTACTTGTTCAGTGGACTACACTGCTAGTAAGATGTAGGTTCCTTCATCTGCTATTTTGTGGTAGGATGGTGGTTCTTTAGATGGTTCTGTGCCTATCAGGTAAACAGAGGTGGAAGGGACCTTGTAGGTCATCTAGTTGCCTAAATAGAGTGGAGGATATTGTCTTGGGTAGATTGAACTTCCCTGTGGCTGTATGGGTAGGCATGGCCAGCTCGACGTCATTTGTGTCAGGGCCACCTGTGGTGGCTTGAGCACTCTGCCAGAGAAAACGGAGCGGCCCTCCTGAGCTCCATTTTCGCTGACAGAGGCACTACAGGCCTCTGCTGTTTCCAGGGCGGCCCTGCAGGCCAGATCTAAGCACCTTGCGGGCTGGATCCGATCCACGGGCCTTGAGTTTAACACCCTTGGTAAAGGGCCTTTCCCACAGCAGGAGTTGAAGCTGTGACAGGAGTTGAAGGAGTTGTGGCCATGACAATTCTAAAGAAAAAGAGGACCCAGGATGCAATCAATGCAGGAAGGAATAACTATTAACATCTGTCTACTGCTAATAATTATACTGGTTTAACATGCAAGTATAACAAGTATAATAGACATGTAAAAAAGTGTATAGTGGCATTATGAGTAATATATAAGCATTTTCCTTCCCAATTTATACAGAAATGCTAGAAGAACCTCCTATCCAAAGGAGTTCTCATTTGGCAGTGGCCTGAATTTACCCTCCATAGGTTTGCTTACAGTGAAATTAGAAGGCCAATTTCAGTCAAGTGCAGTTTTAACAATGCTCTAGCCTTTCCACAGTACATCTATTTCTGGAGTCTTATCTTATATTGGCACCATGAACTTTTAAGTAGCCAAGTGGAGCAGAGTTGTTCAATTCCCTGCAACCCAATCTGTCTATTGATGGTATGAAGTGTTGATTGGGACAGTCTGAAGTTAAAGTGCCATTAGATTTATCTGGGTGAAATTTCTGAGCTCTATGTTATCGGAAATCTTGAACATTACAATTGTGGTTTGCAATATGTGTTTCAGATCCCATCAATATGACAAGGCTGTGGGCCAAGAGGACTATCATTGGAGGAAGCATTTATTTTTTTGATTTTAGAATATCTGAATACAACTTTTGTATTCTTTGCCAGATTCAGGGATCAATCAATTCAATAGTTTGGTCAAAGACTAACATAAAAACAAGAACAAAACCCAAGCAAAAGAGAAATCTATCAATGGCACCATGCAGAAAACATCAATTTCAAATTATTTGTCATGTATGGATATAGTTTACTATTGTTCATACTAAACTAATTGGACCCAGAAATAGATATGAGAATGCCTAAAAACTGAGAGTAAAATTATGGTATTGTTTAAAACCACGTAGAACATTGTTCCCAATCAAAGCTAAACGACAGGAGTCTGGAAAATGATTTTCTTGAAAGATTTCAGCATTTGGCAATACATACAGCACCATGACCAGGTTAGGGAGATAATTAGTCACAACAAACAAGCTAAAAACTGCAATCAGGAATATTATAATAATCCACTTGGGAGTGTTCTTTATTGTGTAAACTCTTTGGTAATTTGCTTCGTCCCTGATGTCCTGTGCTTGGATTAAATGCAGAAAAATGAAGTACTCATGAGGAAACTTCCAAGTGGCCTTTTCAGACCATAACTCAGAAGCTTCAAAGGAAAGAAAGAAAGATGTAAATCAGGAAATACGACAACAAGGTCACTGAATTAGGTTATCTGCAACAATATAGCAAGTTTAAACAAATTCTAAAGCATTCCGATAAACGAGGCAAGCATCAGGAACTCAGGATAAATTGTAGGACATATTAGATTTCTTTATTTTAATGGAACAATTTCTCACTGAAAACTTTTCAGCTGAAAACAAGCACAACACAAAACTCACGAGTTATCTTTAAATAATTCTAAAGAACAGATCGTCTTTACAGCTTCAGAAGCTTCTGGATTTTTTAAACTTTCAGTAAAATAGTTCTGAATGGAATGTTTGGGAAGCAAAGTTGTGAATTAATGAGTCATTGTTTCCATTCTAGCCATTATTTGCATACCATGGTCAGTGGATACCAGTAAACTGTTTACAGATGTAATAGCTGTTCATTTTGAATAGTTATTTTGTATGTCCCAGTGTTCAAAATATGTGTTTATTTGAACTGTTTGGCTAAGAGTTAAACAAAATGACTAAATTATAGCATAGATTTTACAATTGCTATATTTAGAACAGTGTAAGGAATTCTCACTATTCATACCTTATTAGTTAAGAGGAAATACAGAATGAGCATTTTTTTGTCACCCACATATGGTTTTAGCCAGCCTCTGCCTCCTAACTCCTCTTTTTTCTTTTCATAACTCTCATCATTTTCATTAAATAACAAAACTTACCCCATTTTGGAAGACGTGCTGAAGGCTACTCCATGTACCCTTCAAAATAGCATTAGTGGGGAAATTTGTAGCCAACTTTGATCACATCCTATCCAGAACTTAGAATGCTTTTAAAGGTACAGAGCTCCGCAGATCCACAGGGAAATCCACCACACAATGGGAAAACAGGAATAATTGCCTATCCAATCATTTTAGCTAGTGGAATAAACACATCATTCTAAACACTATTGTGGAAGTTTGTATTTTTGTAGTAAAATATTGGCAGGCAACTGAAGAGGTTTATGGAGCTTTTGGTACTCTCTGAGATTTATCTCTTGACAGACATCAAGTAAGTTTCTGATCATGCAATTTTGGAATGTTTAATCAAAGCGAGCCTATCTGGAACTATTGTTACAAATAGAACATCCCCCTATCCACCAGCATTGCCTTTCAGGTAGAAACCAGGGGATACAGTTGAACCTGGAAGCACCTCTCCACAAATAGGGGACCCCAGTAATATTTCACATGACACAGCACATCTGCAGTTCTGCTAATTTTGTCCCTTTCCTTGGACTTTCAGAGACTAATTCATCCCATTATATATTTTAATCCACTAGTGCAAGAAAACTAATGCCACATAGGTAAAGGGTAAAGGTTCCCCTCGCACATATGTGCTAGTCGTCCCGATTCTAGGGGGCGGTGCTCATCTCCGTTTCAAGCTGAAGAGCCAGCGCTGTCCGAAAACATCTCCGTGGTTATGTGGCCAGCATGACTAAACGCCAAAGGTGCACAGAATACTGTTACCTTCCCAACAAAGGTGGTCCCTATTTTTCTACTTGCATTTTTTACGTGCTTTCGAACTGCTAGGTTGGCAGAAGCTGGGACAAGTAAAGGGAGCTCACCCCATTACGCAGCACTAGGGATTTGAACCACTGAACTGCTGACCTTTCGAGCGATAAGCTCAGCATCTTAGCCATTGAAACACTGCATCCCTTAATGCCACATATATAACCTCTTTTGCTGAGAGTTAAACTAATTGTTAGAAGTTCAGTTGGAGAATAGTATGTATTCTATCAGCAAGCATTTGTCAGAAATTCATCAGATGTATCTGTGGCAAGTGATTATGGATACATCATGAAATTGCTAGATTTCTGCCTAGCAATTACACAGTAGGTGGAATTTGGGAGAAGTACACACATATAAGGCAAATATTTATCAGGGGCATCTCTGTCAACTGACTGGGGAAGTTGCTGCTCTTGAATTTTTGTCTGGAAATGATATTCCTCCAGCCCAAATAGACCTGAAGTATAGAACAGGATGTAAGAATCATGAGCTGCAAATCCCTCAGGGAGTACAAAACTGAACAAAGCCTTCAGTTCATAGGTTATGTTGAACAGAATTTGAGAATTTAATTATATATTTCAATTTCCCGGATTGGTTTTTTTACTTTTTGAAGCATATCCGGCATGCTCACAGCTTAAACTTGTGTGTGTTTTTAAATGAATGGCTTGGCATGCCTTTCGTTGTAAGGATCTTTTATCAGCACTCTGCATAACGTCATAATCTACACCTGTAGAAAAAATATCTCTGTTGGGAGAAGTATATTTCTCCCAGCAACATTTTGGCTTCTGCAAGAACTGGTGAACCTACAATTAGATCAATGGAAACTGAACGCTTCTCGTCTTGTTAAATTCCTTTGCATCTGAGCTACAGTGATCCATTTGAGAAAAATGCTGCTGTGAAAAATGCTGTTCTTGTCTACATTATTCTGTTTGCCATTTTAGTTGAAAGGTAGCTTCATGCATGCAAGAAGGCAAAGAATTTAGCATGAGTTCATTTTAAATTATAGAGCTTCAATGAATCTACTAGAATCTATATGAGCCACAATGGCGCGGTGGTTAGAGTGCAGTACTGCAGGCTACTTCTGCTGACTGCCTGTTGCCAGCAGTTTGGCAGTTCAAATCTCATGAGGCTCAAGGTTGACTCAGCCTTCCAACCTTCCGAGGTCGGTAAAATGAGGAGCCAGATTGTTGGGGGCAATATGCTGACTCTGTAAACCGCTTAGAGAGGGCTGTAAAGACTATGAAGCGGTATATAAGTCCAAGTGCTATAGCTATTGATATCTAGATAATATGCTGCTTAAGAGCAATTTTCCAAAATCTTTATCATTTTCTGAAACCTTTCATCTAACAAAACATAATTCAAGAATTATGACTGCTTTATGTATGGAAGTTCAGATGCAGGATGGTGGGATACTGAATTAAAGACCTTTGGAAGGTGGAACAGCCAGGAGAAAACTCAGACAAACTCAGTGTCAATTCCCGAGGTAAGAATCCGGAGAGGCCACCATAATAAATTACAAACAGAAAGTAAAGGAAAGAGAAGGGAGGGAAGTTCAATAGATTAAGGCTTAATTTCTTATATTTTTGTCCTATTCTGGAAACAATACTCTACTTCTATATATTAGAACTTCATACCACTTCATTAGTACAGAAATCAGTGTCAGGATAGAATCCCTCATTTGAGGAGATCCTTGGTGCTCTCTGAGCTTGCTAATACTGATGTTACCTAGTTTGGGTAATGAAACATCTACAAGAAAATAAGCAAGCTCAAGGAGCACCAAGGACCTCTCATATCAACCCTGAGCTACACATGCTCTCCTTTATTAATGCCTCATTTGTTTAACTACTCTCTTTCTCTCTGTATATCTGTAACAGCTCCTATCCTGAGTCACCCGCCAATATACTGGAACATAATCGAATATTCAATAAAGAACTATTTTAGAGACACAGAAGGAGCTGGAAATGGGGCTTTGTTGCAAACCTTTTTTTTCTCCAATGGAAGAATTGGATCTTCCTATCATAAGACTGCTAGCAATTAGATGTCACATGAAAAAACGTACCAACACCAGAAATAATTGAAATGTGTGGGAATGTTTAATTAAAATGAATATAAGACTAAGCGAATGTGAAAACAGCTCCATGCAACTTTGAGCTAGGACCAGTGACGTCCAATTCAAGGATGCAAACACTTTTAATCTAAGCCAAATTAAAGTCATTTAAAAGCAATGCGTATTTTAAATGGTCTGATTTATTACAAATAGCCACAAATATGCTAGCTTTTTTTTCTAAAGGTATTTTCTTTACTGGAAGCAACAACATATAAAGGAAAATTTTTTATTAAAAACAAAATCAAAGATTCTGAACAAAAACATCACGGTACGTTAATATTGTACAATAGCTATGGTGACAGTTACAAAAATTTGAAAAGGCACTTTAAAAATTCACAATAAAAAAGGATAAACTAAAATCTTTTCTTCGACAAAGAATGCAGCATTTTAATTGAGACACTACACGTGCCACTTGTTACAATCCTTCATACTTCAGACAAGTACTATGAATTGTAACAGGACCCACTTCTAACAGTAGAAGCGCCATTAAAGAAATACCTTCTATTATAAATTTTTCATAAGCAAATACTTTTGGAGAAATTCTGTTATCAGTTGTCAATTACTGAAATCTTGCCAACATTAACTGTGATTTCACACATTACAATGATTAGAAACTACTCTCAGCATATATAGCCTGAATAAGGAAACAGAGGCAGCACTCAAGGCAAGCAGGCAAAACGGCCTTCAACAAAATAATACTATGATTCCATAATTACAGCACAGTGATAGAGGTATTCTTTGTAAGACATAAGTGGAAGTAAAAACATAAGAGTCATGCTGTCATAAAATCCAAAGCTTGCTGAAATAACTAATGGGTAGGAATAAGGAGGCAAACTCTTTCAGACTTACAGGTAATCCTTGTCTTACAACTGTTTGCAAAAAAAGTCATAAAATCACATGATGTTCTGCTTTATAATTGTCATGACTTATGACCATAAATGGCAAGCTTCATTATAGTTGTAAATTGAAGATTGTCTGTATTTACAAAGTGTAATAGCAGAGCTTAACACAAACCGCAGAAATCAACCATTTTCTCTTCCTAGGCACAAAGAAGTATTTCATTATCCACATATATAACCTTTAATTTTCTGATATCCTTTCATTTTTTCTGTAACATAACGTAGCCCACTTCTCTCAGATGAGTTCACTTTATCATGTTGGATTATAATTTATTGTATCTCCAGCAAGCATGGCAGTAGTGGGTTTCAAATCCCATCGCTACCGGTTCACTCATGGATGCGTATGTGCGACATTTCTGCGCATGTGCAGAGACATCTGGGCGGGTGGGCAGAGACTCCTGCCACCGCCACTACTGGCTCGCCCAATCCGGGGCGAACCGGTAGCAACCCACCACTGAAGCATGGCCATAAATCAGTATCTCTCAAGATTAGTGGTTTGGAAAAGACTGATACAAGCCATTAAGGCAGAGGAGATACAACATCTGAAGAGAAATGTTCCTGTGTTATTTACTGTAAAGTCCGCTACATATTAAATGAAAGCCCTACAGAATTCACTCTTAATTATTCTGCAAGTATTTTAAATAGAAAATGGAACTGAAATTGGGAGAGTTAGAAGACGCAAAGGTGACAGAAATATTCATCGAACACCAAGACTAGAATTCTGTAACTACGGAAAACTATTAGCAACGGGGGAAAAAACCATATTATCTCTTGGCTGGGGTATTTCTAAACAGAGACTAGAGTTCTCAGAATGTATATAATCTCATAGTGTTGGCTGGTTTTATGAGCTGCACTGATTTATTTTGGATGCCATGTCACTTTATTTGGAGCAAAGTTGTTTTTCTTTGGATTGCTTTAGCTATGCAGAGATTGGGAGCCATCTCTATCCTGGGGTGTTAGCCCAGGATTAGGCTTTCTTCCTTATCAAATTACTTCCATATTACTATGTAAAGAGTTTTGAAATATTTCCACTTTCATACAAGTCTCTAGGTTGCCAAATGTATTACATATAATGTTTATAGAAATTCACCTTTCTTTCTTTCTCTCTCTCCCCTTAAGTAGTTGAAAAGTTACTTTCAATTGAGAAATGGATTTATTCTGAAACTGCAGCAAAACACGTACTTAAAATGAAACATTACTGTGATATTTCCTCCTTCTAATAGTACATTCAGGCTGGTGAGACTCTAATCAAAATACCACCTTATCAAAACTATATGTGCCTATAGGAAACTGTCAGTTAGGTAAGAAAAATGGTTAACGTAAGGAGGAATGAAATATCCTATTTAAATAGCCTAGAGCAGGGCTATGTAATTTAATGTCCCTCCAGCTGGATTTAAATTCCCAGCAGCCTCTGGATGCTAAAGGCAAGGGATTCTGGGAACTATAGATAAAAGTAGAGGAGGTCACCAGCTTATTTATCTTTGTTTGGTGCAAGTCCTGGTCTTCTTTTGTAAGAGCACAACATGCTGTAATATTTTGTTGCAGAACACAGAAAGCTGATAAATGATCCCATTCAACCATCTCCATGCAATAGAGAATACAAAAGATTTTTTTTTTTGTATAGTGACAAAACTCTAATGAAATTAAAGTATTTGTACTGTGATACTGAAAGACTATGCAACTGCTGTGTAATGGACAAAAACAAAGGGATTATTGAGCAACATGCCCCATTTCTTGCTAAAGAGCTATTTCCCTATTACTTAGAAAACATAGTGTTTCACATCAGATGTTACCCTTCCGTACTAAGATGGAAAGAGGTTAGCCCATTTTAAATTGATTTTGATGAAACAATGCCAAAATAATCCCTCAAATGATTGTCCCTGTTTAGTCCAATTATATTCCCAATGCTTACTTTTTAAGTTCTTTCTTAGATTCACACACACACCTTTTTTTTTTTTTTACAAAAGTCATCTTTTAATTGCTTTAATTTCTTGCACTTCTCAATGCGCTGTAAATAAAATTGTCTAAACTGTGATCCATCCCTCCAAACAGGTATATCAGAATATCATCTTCAGAAAGAACTCCACGTGAAAAAGGCAATTTGAAGAGGCCTCCAGACAGACACACAACAGCAAAAGTCCATTTAATAGGAAGCCTTTGGAGGATCCATGTATGCTGGATTATAAGGGGGTTGAGCTGGAGGAGCTGAGGCACCAGCTGTAAAAGAAACAAACAGACAAGCGCAACAGGTTAGCAGCTTATTTATCTTTTTATATTTATCTCTGCATATTTCTTAGATTTTCATCACAAGTGCTAGTGTCCATATAGTTATGAAATCAAGGAAGATTTCTAGCTTGATCTATAAATTCTGAAAATTAAATTGCAGAATGAAGCATATTAAAGTTCTTCCGTTATAGAAAACAATACACACATTACTTGGAGTGCTCTGTAAAATGTCTGCATAGAAGCCTTATTCCTATACTAGAAAAAGAAGCCCTCCTTGTTGGGGCAAAATGTCTCCTTAACCTCCATCTAGATCTCCTTCTCGATTGATAATTGAGTTGATTACCTGATGTTATAGAACAACACCCCTTCTATAGAGGTAGTCCTTGAATTACATTTGTTTGGTACCTATTTGAAGTTGTAACAGCACTGAAAAAAGTGACTTACAACCAGCCCTTGAATTTATGACTATCACAGAGCACCCATGTTCACATGATCAAAATTTGGACATTTTAATTATTCATGTATTAACTGCAGCTAGAATTGTATTTGCACAACACTGGAAAAGTGGAGAGATTCTCATTGAAGAGAAGGTTATAAGGAAATATTAGAATGTGCAGAAATGAACAGATTAACGTTAGCAATTAAGGAGAAAGTGCAAACTGAATATTATATGATATAGGAAGTATTTTATCAATGGTTGGAGAATAAAAATGGAGTTTGGAAATGAAGACTAAAGAATAAGTAGAAAATATATTAAGATAGAGATATAAATAAGATGAAAATTGTTAATATGTGTATGAGGAGAATGATGATATTTGATGTTAATATGGTATTATTACTAAAAGACACTAAGAAAATGGAGAGTTTTACAATATTTAATATATTATAATATTAATGTGAATGTGAATGTGAAAGTGAAAGATGTGACAAATGAGGAACGATGTAGCGCAGAGATGTTTGTACCCAGATGATATACTGCCTAAGAAAAGATGGAATGTTTATCTTTGTAATTAAAAAATAAAAAACTTTTTACAAAAAAACCCCCCGCACATTTGGCAACTGGCTTGTATGTATGATGGTTGCAGTGTCCTGGGGTCATATGATCATCATTTGTAACCTTCCCAGCAGGCTTTTAACAGGAAAATCAATGGGGGGAAACATTCACTTAACAACTGTAGTGATTCAGTTAACAAATGTGGCAAAAAAATGTCATAAATCTGGATGTGACTCACTTAACTATCATCTTGCTTAGAAATTGAAATTATGGCCCCAGTTGTGGTCATAAATTGAAGACAACTTGTATCTGAAAAGTTAGGTTGTTGCTTCTTTCTTCTCCACAACATCTGCATTACCCTATAGAGATTTATAGGTAAAGTGTCTCTGGTTTCCTGATAAACATGGTGTAGGAAATGACATTGCTAGGCCTCTTCAAATCCTTGAAGGAGGGCTGCGCTTTGATGAAGGACAAACAAAGCACCTCCTTGAAGACCTTTCATGAAGCAAAATTTGCTCTACGGGAAAAAACTAAGAGACATCATCCTCTGCAGTGCTAGTCAAAGTCCCTCTAGATTGGGATGTCTCAGCAAACACTGTAGGAAGACTATGGAGTGCACCAAATCCATCCTGTAGCATGAGTCAAAGCAATCTGCCCTAAAGCCCCCTTCTCATAAACCAAAGCTCTTCCAGGCAGAGAGGCTTCAGGGTCTGCTGAATTCTGCACCCTGGGTTGAAGTCATCCAACCTGGAAGCATTTTGGGGCAGATGTTTAAGAGGAAATTTCTAGCACAGTGTGGCTCACTGCTCAGCTCTGTTCTTTAGGAAAGTTGACCACCAGTGGAATAAAATCATCAGTAAAAAAGGGATTTCAACCAGATAGCCTCAGAAGAATTTACACAGAAGTGATACTTTATTTGTATTAAAGAAGCCAAGTTCCCCAAGATAGCAAACATGAATTTATAATTTGAGGCTGGACATATTTTGAAAAGAAAGGCTGCTGTGAGATACTATTTGTTTCTTTTTCTTTCTAGCAGTCTCAGTACATCTCTCCCCTCTTTTTTCCTTACCTGGCACTGTTTCCTGGTATGGTGGTGGCCTTATAGGCTGTGTAGGATAGGGTGGAGGGTACTGGGTTGGGTAGGGTGCTGGTGGCATTCCAGGATGGGGCTGTACCGGCAATGGATTGTATCCTTGGTATGCTCCTCCAGCATAAGCAACTGGTGCCCCAGGCTGCTGAGGGTAAGGCATCTGCACCACAGTTGTGGCTGTTGTTACAACAGCTGTAAAACACAAGAAGGATATTTAGGAAGGAATAAGCACAGGAATGTAGTCGTTAGGAATCAGGGCATCTATGTGGTTATTAGGAGTAGAAAATGCCATCGTCACATAATCAATGGATCTATGAATCACAGTGTAATGCGTATGTGGGAAAAACCTTTGGAGATGGGGTGAAGCGATGATACTTGAGGAATGATCAGATAAGAGGCAGCATAGCCGGCAGCTGGATAGTGGGCAGAAAAAGGAACTGTCCAAACTTTTTCAGGCTTTAACGACGACAGCAGAATTCTACTTTCAGACTTTCAGATTCTGTTGATGTTTCTTTACAACAAAATAGAATTAGCTTCTCTGATTATGTTTTCCTGTCTCGTTTACCTGGTAAGGCTGACCCAGGGAAGGAAGGAAACATAACATTTCCCCTCTTCCTCTTTTGGTTATATAACCTGGCAACTGTTTTTCAAATAAATTTTGAGACTTCCTCCATAGGCATGAGGTAGAAAAGGAATCATTCCTCCCACCAGAAAGGTTACTTCTACTAGAAGGCACACCAAGAAAAGATTCTGACCTTCTGGTATCTTATGTCCCATGTCTGCTGATCTGCCCAGATACTTAGAAGCTGTAAGCCAACCTTTCCATCTTTATTCAGGCATGTCAAGACTACAATGCCCAGAATTCCCTGTGGGTATGATCACTGGAATCTCCCAGCTCCTGGAGATTTGTGAGAATTAATAGTCCTAGGTTAAGTAAAGATACCTGACACGGTAAGGCTGAACTCCCTTAAGTTTGTCACACGTGCTGAGAGTCAAAGGAAACTGCATCTCTGATAACTGAGATAAGTATTCATTCCTTGTTCAGCCTCTGATCTAATGCTAGTTACATTTTAAACAAGTGACTTTTCACCTATTTTAAAAGCAGCATTTCTAGGAGGTATTTTGCTGTGTCTGCTTTTTTCCTCCCAGTGCACTTAACAATATCTCTCATAGTTTTCCTCAAACAGAGCAACAATTCAGCCAGGGAGGATACTTACGCTGCGGTCTCCTTCGGCAGGCTTTATATAGGCAGCAACACGAGCAGGTGAAGCAGAGAATGATGCCTACTACAAACACGACGAAAATTGAAATGCCAATTGCTATAAATGTCCCACTGAAAAACATTGAGAATTCAAGTTGTCCAAGTTAAAGGCTTCAGAAAATAATACATTTCCAACAAGAGCATTTTGCTATTCTAAATGCAAACAAAAATGGAAAACATGTCAGACTAGGATCGAAATGAAAGATTTGCACATGGTTAATCTCCATCAACTCAAACTTTCAGAGAAGTAGTTTTATTAGTTTACTGCCACAGATAAGAAAAAGAAAATCAAGTAGGCAGGCCCGAAGGTACATAAGGAGTTTTATTTCTTTTAAAAGTGTACCACAGACGTCAAACATGTAAAAAAGTGAAAAAGAGGTGAGGCTCGTCTGCATAATCATATCCACCATTCTGATTTCTTTTTACACCACTTTTTTTACTTCTTGTCTATATCAATCAACAACTTTGATGCACCCAGATGTTGCAGACTACAAATCTGATCAGTCCCAGCCACTGCACGGGGATTACAAGACATGCCCTAAACAACTGGACACAACAAGGTTGCCACCTAAGCTATGAGCTTCCCCAGAATAAGCTTTACTAAATGTGTCTACATAATCACATTTATTAAGTTAAATTTAGACAATATATCTTTTTCAGGAGACAACAAAACCCTTGGTTAGTTTAAATCCACGATGTTAACTTTACAGAAAACAATAAAGAAGAATTTTACTTCGAGGACTTTACACGCATGACTAAAAAAAGAAGTTAACAGAAATTCAAGGTTATGATTCAGAAATGCTTATTCACAAGGTAATATTTATGACTTCCCTTTACAAAAGAAAACGGTGTTCCAGTGAACTGTAAACTCCATATGCAAATAAAATCTTTAATGATTTCATCCTGGTATTAATCTTTAATTTACTATTTTATTTATTGATTAGATTTTATCCTGACTTTTAAGAAATTCAAGGCAGTGAACATTCCTAATACGCCTTCTTCCTCCTATTTCTCCCACAACAACCCTATGAGTAGTGGTGAAATGTAAAATTTGTTACTACCGGTTCTGTGGGCATGGCTTGGTGGGGGGTAATGTGACTGGGTGGGTGTGACATTTTTTTTTTACCTTTAAAAACATTTTTTCTACCTCTTTGGCCGAAGAGGTTGTAGAAAAAATGCTTTTAAAAGGCTCTGCCGATCCCAGCTGAGTTGCCTGATTGTCAGAGGCTTTTGTTTTCTTTTAAAAGCATTTTTTGTACAACCTCTGAAGAGGTTGTAGAAAAAATGCTTTTAAAAGGCTCTGACGATCCCAGCAGAGCCGCGCGATCATCAGAGGCTTTTTTTTTACTTTTAAAAGCATTTTTCCAGCCGAAGAAAAAATGCTTTTAATAGTAAAAAAAAAAGCCTCTGATGATCGCGCGGCTCGGCTGGGCATGGGGGAGTGGGCAGGGATTTTTGCTATCGGTTCTCCGAACCACCTGCCATCATCGCTACCGGATCGGGTGATCCAGTCTGAACCGGGAGCATTTCACCCCTGCCTGTGAGGTGAGCCAAGGGTGAGTGAGTAGCCAAAATTACCAGGCAGGTTTTTGTGCCAGATGTAGCATGCAAATAAAAGCAGGCAGCATTTCGATCTAATGTTTATGGTACCAGGCTAGAAAACAGGTACGGTAACTAAAATCACAGTCACCTGGTTTCTAGCCTAGTACCTTAAACACCACACTAAACTGCTGCATGCTTTTATTTTGAGCCTTTGCTTTCTGCATGTAAATGAAACTCTCTCATCTCTCTTCTTGGGGCAGCGGGTTGTTGCTCAGACTTCATGCACTTTACACTCAGACCAAATTGTTCCCACCGTCCTTTTCACAGACTGTCTGCTCCTATGCTGACTTGGCTCATGTTCATTTGACTTCTTAACTTCTGATGCGGTTACCTCTGGTAATATAGTCTGAGTCTATCCAAATGCCAGCCCTTCAAAGAAAGCAAAGTCAAAGAACAGACATGGCAGGGATCCCAGAAATTCTCCTTCACTCTTGGGGTGTACATTAACTAAATATGAGAAGTTTGTCCAAAACTTTTCATTGCTCTTTTTTTAAGGACAAGACTGTCAAGGAAGGGCTATTCTGTCTCTTTGGTCACACTTTTTACTTCCCTAGAGCTAAGCAACCATTGTCCCCACCCCCACCCCACTAAAGACCAGAACTAGATTTTTATATATAGCAACTTAATCTGCAAAATATTTGCATATGGTTTTTGCACTGCTGACAAATCCTTCAGTAAGAACATCTTATAAAAAGCATAGCCAATGGTGAAAAGTAAGGTCAGAGGCTTGGCTTGGATTTTTGTTCCATAGTGGTATAACTTCAGTATAAATTTAATAAATATATAGATATGAATGGCTTTTGAACGTGACATTGGTTTGTAAGTCCAGAAAGCATTCTTTGGGGATAATGGTTCTCCAAAACCTCATTTTCTCATGTTCTATTCTACAATAATACTCCTATAATGTTATTTTTTAAAAAAGAAATCCAGATGTGACTGCTTATTTCACAATAAATAATAATTGCATGTGGTCCTCAGTCTATGTTTGAAGTATGTTTGGTATTTTTTCTTCTGTAGGAACAATATTTATCCTGCCAATGCTAGATGATTCTGGGATACAGTATCTGGAATGCAAACTAGTTCTAAATCATTTGTGAGATCAGGAGAGATATTTATGGCTCTCTCCCCACTCCCCAGGTTTTTGTAAATTAACCAATAATTTAATATTTAAAAATTTCAATCTATTCTAAATTCAGGACTAGTGATTGTAAACACCTTTAATCCATACAATGCAGAGACAAAGGAGAACATCTTGTCGTGGTCAATCTTATGGTAAACCACATTAAAATGGTAAAGACCGACCTAAATCAATGAGGTGAATTAATGGTTAATTTTATATGGAATGGGCAAAGACCAAAGAGATCTCCTTTAAAGCTACAGCTTTATATGATGGTGGTACTTTCAATTTTCCAGATTTTAATCTTCATCATATCACATACTTATTCAGATCAGTACCAAGTAACGGCATGACAATGTTAACAACTGTAACATAATCAGAATGAAAATCAAAGTTACTCTTTTGTGCCTTAGTGGATAGTTAATATCCTTCACCCTTTGAAATCCTAGCAAATTCTTGGTTCCCACTACAGAGGGAATTTAGTGCTGCGAACCTTTAAGGTAATTAGACATATAGTATTTGGACATTATTGGGCCAGAAATTAAATGTGAGATTGTGATCTAGAACAAACCTATTTAAAATGGCAGGAAAATATTTGTGGTGGTGGTGCAGAGTAAGCGGGGATAGTTCTACTTAAAATGCCTTGAAATTTTCCAAAAGAAATATGATTTACCTAAAGCCAGTTTGGTATGTGAAATTATTAGACTACAAACCAAGAGAAACCAGGAAATTGTGATTCTAGCCATGCCTTTGGCATGAAGCCAGCTAAGATACTTTTTTTCAGTTCTAGGAAAAAGGCTATGACAAATCCTTTCCAAAAATCTTGCCAAGAAAATGGCATGGACTTGTCTAGACATCCATCAGGAATGAAGACTAACTTGAAGATATACATACATATGTAAAAGCTGAACAATGATATATAGTACCAAATATATACTACCTGGCCTATGGTGTGCTACATTACGATACCAAATATATAAATGGGGGGCTGTGAGATGGTTTTTTTTGTATGTAAGGCACCGGTTTTTCTCCTTAAGTTTTTTATTTGTAATCATGTTGATTTTAGCTGTTTTAATTGTTTTAACTCTCACCCAACTTCACATTTGTGAGATGGATGATTATATAGCTGTGATAATAAATAAATAATGACCTGCATACATACAACTATTATGATTTTTGGTCTGGATCTGGATACTTCAGCAGCTAATAAATCTCTATCTAGTTTAAATACATTTTTTTTAAAGAGGGTAAGCTAGGAATCCCATACTATCAAACTTTACAAAAATAAATTTGGAATGAGGAACTAGAGTTGGCTATTTTAACAAATCAATGCTTTTAATGAATATTGAATGTTCTTATGACTTATTATTGGACTCCTCAGCCAATTTTTAAAATCTGATTATGATCCATTTTTGGAGTTCTAATAAAACTTGAAGGCGCTTGATGTGTATGTATCTGATTATCACTGTCAGTTGATTTTTGGTTAAAGTAAACCTTAAAGCTGAGGCGTACCAAATTCTTGGAAAAAAGTGAAGGTTTAAAGATGTTAATATATTGTTAAGTTATATCCCCAAACTGTTGATTTAAAAAAAAAAATTACAAGATTTGGTTATATATTCCTTGGGCACAGAGAAGTATGGAACCAGAGAACCAAATAAACAAGACATATTGAAATCTGTCCTTAAAAAAAATATCTTCCCATTAATTCTTAAGATCTAAACTTTTTTGTTAGCCTCCCTTCTGGTCTACTGATGTAGCTGTTAAATGCCTTGCTAGAAGCAGGTTCCATACATACTCAGTCATGGATAAAGAGGCTGAACTTTTGTGAGATCTCGTACCTAAGTGCTAATTGTGCCTAGGCCAGATCAATTCAGAAGAGAAATAACTCATGCTCTATTAGGATTAACATTTCTTTCCTTTTTCCAGAATGGTATTCCAACATTAGTAAAGAATCATTTGAAAATTGAGCTAGCTTATATTTTACTAAACAGCTATATATAATGTTGCCAGTTGAGTTTCCACAGTGAAACCTCTAGAGAAGAGATAATTTGGAACACTTAGTGCAAAGTCTCTATTCCTATAATTTCTACTTTCTTTGTTTTTCTTCTAGGTGCTTAAGGTTTTCCTAGAATTATATACAGAAGGGGAAAAAAAACAGCTGGAGATGAAGAAGCCACGAGGACAGGATTAAAGATGATCTCATCAGGCATACTGCTTCATTGTGCAAAACTGTGTTTGCCCAGAAGAGAAGCTGTCATTTTGATGCAAGCAGGGACATGCCACACAAAGTGCTCAGCTGAAGTGCCTTCCAGCAAGTGGCATCATCTAGCCAGGTAAAGAGAAAGGAACAAGGAAGGGGAAAAACAAATCCTTCCAAGCTTGCACTTTCTTTAAATTAAAATTTCAACAGATCGGGTCACAAAGAAAAGTGATGCGATCTATGCAGGCCAGATCGGCTTCTTTACCTATGTTAAAGAAGCATTATTTTTCTTTTATTGTAGATGCCCCAAGGAATGTATCAGCTTACTTAATGTACAATACATGAAGTTATTTTAATGTTAAGATCTGGACAAAAAGTCATCATTTGTATTAGCTTGATTCTGGAAACAGATCCAAAATTCACTGTTAAAAGGATACTGTAGACACAGTATTTTCTGTTGCACAGAACCTTATACCATGATAGGAAAAACAGGCTAGCTGTGCCACTCAATTATCCATTTATCTTTTTACAGCACAACTCACCACACAGTATCTATTAAGAGACACAAGACCTGTCCTCTCTAACCTTATGAAAACAAGATACATAGCCAAGGACAAAGAATGATTTACTTCTATTCTAGTCTACGCCAAGTACTGTCATGGCAAATTATTTTATTGGGAACACAAGAATGACACGTTGCTACTTAATGACTGACTCTTTCTAGTTTGTGTAGTTAATTACCAACACATTAAAAAGATAGGAATTATTTTTATACTTTGATAATGGCTTTCCTCTTTGGCTCAAGCAAGGAAACTTGACATTAAAAAAACCCTTTGCTTCTTCAATGTAGTTGTGGTTTCTGGACTTTGCAAAGTAGAAAAAAGATTAAATGATTGCTATTATTGGAATAAGTATTTCTTCTAAATAAATAATATCCCAAAGTTACACAGGAAAGCTCCAAGGCTCATGGTTAATGAATGAAAGGAAAGATGCCTGCCAACAAAATGCACAAAGCTTACCTCATTTTTGCTTCGGGGGGGTGGAGGGGTGGGGGAAGAACCCCTAGTATTTTCTTTTTAAAATTTCCTTTGGCGATTCTGTCCCTTAGAACTCTTAAGCTTTTTTCACTGAGAAATGAAACTACAGTAGCTACATTTGTGGATAAAACCGGAAGACATGTGATTTGTCTCACATCTCAACAGGAAAAGTAGCTTCTTTGATCACATCCTGCTCCCTGCTCAGAGTTTTCTTAAAGATACAGAGCACTGCTGGGCCATAGATATCCCAAGCGCAGTAGGCACGGCAGAAACAATTGCTCAAGCAAACTTAAACTGCTCAATAGAACTAGCAGAGTCTTCCCAACCCTTTTACCAGAAATCAAAATATCCCAAGTATCATTTTTCTGCAAAAAAATATTTGGATGCAGCTTGAACAAGAGCAAAAGGATTAATTAAGGACCATCTCTTTAAATCCTGAAATCACCCAGTGCGTCTTTGCTTGAATGATTTTATTCTTAAATACTGTATATTGCTGGACTACTTTGGTCCCTGCAAAATAAACAAACCAGCTGAGAAGATTGGATAAGTACATCTCACCAGTAAATTCAGAAAGCACATCAAAGAATTGTGCAGAGAGGAGATAGAGAACTGCAGGTGAATAAGATGGTGAGATCTGCTCACGTGCTTGCTGTTCACACTATAGCAGAAATCAGGCATTTGAATTCTCAACCAAGACTCAGAGAGGCGTCTGGGGGTTTCTTTAATCCCTCCCATCTAATCAAAAGTAACTCAGTGTTTGTTATTTCTAGTTTCACTCTGTGTGTGGACACTGATCTGAAAGACCCACTGGTGGCTTATGTCCCTGTCTGTTTGACAATATGGTAGAACAGACTCATTTGGCTCTCCTGGGTACCAAAATTACAATCCTTTCCCACCGTTCCAGGTACCTGGAAAAGAGCTCCAGCAGGACTACATTTGGCTCATTTAACATTAAAAAAGTTTTCAGACTTCTTCTTTTTAATGGGCTTATAATATATGCCTTTTGTTTAAAGAGTCCTTATTTGATATTACAACGCTATAATGATAATGTTACCTAGTTGGGTAATGAAATGTCTGCAAGAAAACAATAAAGCTCAGACAGCACCAAGGAGCCCAATCCTATAATTATTTGTAATATACTACTCTTTCAATTGCTCTTTTATTCTGTGTTTGCACAGTGATTAGCATAATACATACTTCCGATTATGATTTTGTGGGTGTCAATGATGTCTCTAGGACAGTGATGAGTAACCTTGTTGTCATGTGCTGAAAGCGCGTGTGTGCACGTGCAACAGAACCCCCTCCCATAATGCAATGCACGTGCGACACCACCCTGCACGCCCCACCCGTGCATGTGACGCCCCACACTCGCCCTGCGCATGCGCACGCAACCCCCCTGTGCCCCGTTTTGGGCCTAGTAGGGTTTACTTGTCACATGACATATTGTGACTTTCCCTCTTTGCTAAAATGGGGGGAGCATGGCCAGCATGTGACTCATCTGGCCCGTGGGCCGCAAGTTTGACACCCCTGTCTTAGAGAGAGCTGCAAAGCACTATGGATCAGTATATAAGTCTAATGCTATTGCTATTGTTATTTCATGGAGTATCACAAGAACTACTGCTTGAATTATTTTTAACTAGTAGGTACAAGTAGTCCTTGTTTAGCAACCACAACTGGGACCAGGAACTCACTCACTAAGCTGCGCAGTCACTAAGTGGAAATCATATGACCCTATATATACAGTTTTACTTCTGTTTTCTTTCCTCTGTTCTTCAGCCTGGCAGTCATTCATCAAGGTAAGTAATTTATAGGTGTTGTCACCCTTTTCTAGGCAGGCAGTAAATTTAGCAAATAAAGTTGTTAAAAGGGATTGAGATGGGAGGACAGAGGCAAACAGTTTAGTTTCAGCACCTAAAGGGTGTGTGTGGAAAGATCAACAAGTCTGTCCCACCCAGGTTTTTAGTTTGTTTGTTTTTCATTGAAGAAATGTGAGTCTCTGAGGAAGGGGGGGAGGGAGTTAAGAAAGGGAACAGTTTGGGGAAGTTCATTTAGAAGCTGCAGCATTTGCATGCATGCAGCTAGCTTCCCCAAAGCCTAGGAGAGTCTTCTGATGGCCAGCTTGCAGGAACTAGAAAGGGGATAATTATTAATTTAAATTTAAAATGATTAAAAACTTGAATAAAAACATAGATTTATATAGTTCTAGCCCAATACTGGGCCATGTTGATGGCAGAGATATTTCCAACCAGAAAGTCATTCTGTGTTCATCTCAATCCCACAGGCCATTCCAAAAAGATGGATAGTTGTTTGAATACTGCCATATTTGCAGTAAATATCATTGTCCTCAAGGAGAAAACCTCATTTTAAGAGTTCTAGCCAAACCAGTGCGCAGTCTTTTTAAACATCTCCAAACCATTCACACCTCTTCCGAACCTCCAGGCAACTCCTCAAGCAATTCTATCCAATTATGAAAATGCTTAACTTGAAGTTTCCATCTTTTTAGTGGTTCTTTTTGAGGTGTAGTAATAATATTCTTGGCGCAATCCAAAAAGTTCCTTCTTGATTTCAATTTTTTTGTAGGGGGTACTTGGCCAAATAATGGGTGTGTCAGATCATGTAACACTGTTCCATATTCCAGGTCTTGTGCCATGCTCCTTCTAACACCTGGCGGAGCTATTCCCACCAAAGATATATACTGTTTCCCCCTGAAAATAAGCCCTAGTCTGATTTGGGGGGGGGAGGCTAATATAAACCCTACTCTAAAAATAAGCCCAGCAAAAGAGGCGGTGAGCGTGCACGAGCCGACGATGTCTGGCAGCAGCCGCAGCCCATCAGCCCCTTGACACAGCATAGATAAATCCCATCAAGGCAGGCTAGAGGTGGAGAAATGGGGGGGGGCGGAGTTTGCTGCAGACTGTGGACCTGTGGTCAATATTAAAAGTGACTGACTGCAGGGTGCTGCAGCCACTATAAGTCTGAAACACAGTTGTAGGTGTCTTTGGGGCAGTTTGTCGTAACTTTGAATGACCATAAAGTGACTAGCCGTATTTTGAGGACTACCTGCACACCTCTTAAAAATGGCAGAATAATTGCAGAGTGTCAAAGTGACCTAGGCAAGGCTTCACGGCTCTCTAACTCTCAAGAGTGCAAGTACGCAGCAAGCTGCTGCAGCTGATTCTTTTAGCTCTGTAGCTCCCGCCTTTTTCATCTTTTAAGTCTATAGTCATCGTCCTTATAGTGTTACAGTGGCTTTTATGTTAAGAATAGTTAATTTCACAGTCTGTTACGTTTTACTTTAGATTGGTGAAAGGATTATCATCAGCATAAAAAGAAGCATATGTAAATAATACAGGGTATTTCCTTTCTAATTCCATGGGATTTTTATATATGTGTACCTGTAATCAGCCGTATATAGATCTTCAAAATCTGGGTCTATCTTGAATGGTTCAGGCTTGAAAGATGGACTGTAGTGACAAGATTAAAAAGAAAACATTTTAAAAGATGTTCACAGATTAAATAAAACATGTTTAAATTGCCCTTTTCTAATAAAAGATGAGAAATGCTATATAACTACCGTATTTTCCGGCGTACAAGATGACTTTTTAACACATGAAAATCTTCTCAAAAGTCGGGGGTTATCTTATATGCTGGGTGTCGTTCTCCTGTAACCAGGCAGACCAGCCCGAAAGGCTCTGACGAGCCTTAAATGGCTCTCGCGATCCAAGCTCTGACGATCCCAGCTGAGTTGCCTGCTAATCAGGCAACTCAGCTGGGATCGCCAGAGCCATGTAAAAGGAAAAAAGTTTTCCCCCTCCAGCTTGCTTACGTTAGCTGCTAGTCGCAACGCTTGCCTTGCTTCACTTGCCTGAATCCCTTCCATCAGCAAGCAATCAAGCAGGCAGGGAGTTGAAGTCTACAAGTCTTAAAGTTGCCAAGGTTGGAGACCCCTGTTCTATTGGGTAAATTTTTTCCCCTTTGGGAGCTTTAAAAAAAATAGTTAATTGGGGTTTTTTTTAGTTGTTCTTTTTTTAGACCTAGCCATTTAAAGTTTAGGAAGTTTTAAATTTAGCTTTCATATAAAAATAAAAATAAAATAAAATAATATTTGTGCAGCTTTCTGAGATTTAGTGTGTTTCTGTAGTGTTTCACCCTAACTACACAAACACACAAAATCTCACAAAGCTGTATGTGGAATTTTGTGTGTGTAAAGTGTGAAAGTTGTTTTTTGGGCTTTTTGTGGCTATGTGAGGTTCCTGCTTGTTGCAGGGGCCATTTTGGGTATATAGCACAGCTGCTTTTACATTGTGGGTGATGTTGATGTTTTTTAATTTTTATTTGGTGTGCGTTGGTGTGCGTAGTCTTATACGGCGAGTATAGCCCAAACCCTATATTTTGACAGAAAAAGTCATCTTATACGCCAGAAAATACGGTAATAGTGTTAACTTACATAACTTTTACATCGTCAAGATGACTGATTACAGTCCTTAGAAACAATTAAAGAAAGAAAAAGAGTTAATGGTGTATTGGAAAGAAACAAGCTTTAGCGAAATCCAGATTAACATCACTTGCATTGATTTACGTAACTTTTGCAATTGTGTAATTAATGTAAAAAGTGTTTTGTGCAGGAAAACTTATTAAACACTAAGTGACATCCAAACAAAAAATCTCCAATGTATCTATCAAACCAAGACTTTATTTCATTGAAAGGAGGAGAGGCACACAACTGAAATACTTTAATCTGGATTATCGCACAGGACCTGATGGCCAAAATGCTACCTTCCAATTACGTAATTTCAAGATACAGAGAATAATCAGGTATTAAGCCAGGGTCACTGACATAATTATTTGCAACCATGTTGCTTAATGCCAATTCTTTTCACATTTTAAAATGTTAAATTGTGCTTCCTGTAAATAATAATACAGTAAAGGAATCTTATAAAGCAATGTTCCAATAGAATTTCATTTCCAGAAAATCTTGAGCCCTAACTAAGCTTTCTTTGAAAATAAAGTATACCCATATTACGACTAAGAAAAGTAGGGAGATAGTGGGATGGCAGGTAACATTCTAGTAAATCTACAGTAAGGTCTGCAGCAGGGCAAGATTCCACAATGTTCATTTTCTGAGAGCACATGCAACATATTCTCAAAATATCTCCACCAGCTCAAAAAAACTGGTGACCTTTGTACTTAGGTTTGTATAGAATTGCATGGGAAGATGCAGTCTGGAAAAGCATTTGGATTCAGTACATACATGCCACTGTGGGTGTCATATGATATAGCAGCTGAGTTATGGGCCAAATGAAAATTTCTCCTTAGCTCTAGTTCTGATGTAAAGTAAGGACATGGCATTAAAACCAAAAATAGATGCAACTGGCATAATAGGTAAATTTAGGTCCATGTTTCTCAATTTCGGCAACTTTTAGTTGAGTGGACTTCAACTCCCAGATTGTTTTTTATCAGGGCAACCTGGACTACCCGAATATGGGATGGAGCATACTGCTTCCGCTTTTGCCTTTTCAGCCCCAATCCAATAGCTTTTGCAGGCAGTTGCTTTCGCAACAAACTATTTTTGTGTTAAATTTATATTTACCGACAAAGAAATAAAAAGAGACATATAGATCTATAGATCTAAATAGCTTGAAATAGATCTATACTAGTCTCCCTTTATTTTTTTGTCGGCAAATATAAATTTAACACAAAAATTCAGCTCCCAGAGTTCCCCAGCCAGCCTTATTTACGCAAAGCCCACAACTAGACCTGCCTATAACCTGTGCCACAGGGCCAAACCCAGGAGGGCTGCTCTGTTTAATGCTTGTAGTTCAAACAGGGAGGAGTACTTTAAGCAAGGGTCCAGCACCGTTTTCCAATTGGTTGCCTGACTATTTTTTGGACTACAATATCTACGCTCCCTGCAGGGAGCATATTGGAAGATTTTTTTCCCCTGGAATCTTTTCTCTCTATAACCATGGTTTATCTTTGAAAGCAGTCTTTTTTATTTTTTTTGGTCAGGTTCTCATCTCCTGCCAAATATGGCCCAGTTTGTTCTGTTTTCAGAGACCCAAAGGTGCTTTTTCAAAAGTCAACTGGACTTTCTTTGTTTTTCCCTTAAGGAAAACAAAGAAAGCCCAACTGACTTTTGAAAAAGCACCTCTAGGGCAACCATGATCTGGATGACTGAGAATCTCCATAGACATTTAGCTGTTTTCGGAGAGTTATCTTTGATAGGATAGGGCTGTATTTTCCAACTTTTGGAAACTTTAAGTTGTGTGAATTCCCAGAATTCTTCAGCTGCTAAGACAGGCTGGGTTTGCTGAGTGGGGAATTCTGGGAACAAATCCACACATCTAGAAGTTGCCAGGGTTTAAAAACACTGAGATAGAGGGAGGACAGACACATGGACAAACAGCAGTGCCAAGCCTCTTATTATTGTACTCTTGGGCTGGGAAAATGAACAAGATAAACAGGCAGCAAAGGCAGAACATGGAATTATGTTCTAATTTCAGTATCCTCTCCAGAATTGATATGTACAACATATCTTAAAACAACCGCACAACACCCTAACCCTTGTGCAGTAATTTCCAATCATACCTTTCCAAGGAACAGAGAGACTGATAATTTCTGTCAAAGGGGTCTGAGCAACAATAACGATTAGTGCAGGTCCCACAGCATAATTTTGAGCAAATCTGCTGTGCATGCCAACGTCCAGAGGCATCTTTGTAAGCCTCACACTGTTCAGAAGAACCTGAAAATTAATCAAAGCAAGAAGTTATTTTACCACATCATATTTAGCTTTGAAAAAAAATGACAGCTGAGAGGAATATGGCTGCATTCTTCATATACCTGAAGTATCATGGCATAGCGAAAGTCAAAACCTATTTTGACATCTCAGATGATAAGATACAAAATAATGGTCTGAGATTACAGGAAAACAGATTCCCAAATTGAGCATTAGAAAGAAATTCTTAACGGAATAAGAGCAATTTGCTGAGGGAGCAGTGTTTTTTTTAATTTATCAAATTTAAATAGTTGCCCATCTCACCAAAAGTGACTGTGGGTGATGCCCAGAATGTTATTATTGATGAATGTGTTGAGGCAAAAGTTAGAAGGCCATCTGTCTGAGATGTTTTCACTTGGATTTGTATATTCTACGGGATTGGGCTTCATTGCCAACCAATTTTTTCAGTTACACAGCAAATGCTGAATATTTTCTAAGTGGATATGCTGATTCTTAACCGGTGGCTTGGCCCTGCAGAAAGAGTAAACTGTGTGTTTCCTGCTTATTACTTGTCTGCAATCAGATAATGAAAGAGGAGTTCTGGACAAATGATCTGAAGCTTCTTCAAAGGAATGCTAGTACAAAAATATTTGAACCTAGCATTTAAAGAAATCGCTACCTTGTATTCTTAAATAAAATAAATAAATAAAATTTTAAAAAAAACCAGGAGAGAAATCAAATCAAAACATAAATAAGCAGTTAATTATCTATGAATAATTTAATACATTCCACTTAAGGAGAAAAATGAAAGGAACTCAGAGAATGGCAAGGAAAATGTAAAAAAGTTTTAAGATGCAATCCATTTCACAAAGTTTTCAGTTATAACAGAAAAGGAATCTTAAGAAACCTGAAAAAGAAACCAAAAACCTTTCCCAGCATAGAAAAGAAGGAAAAACCTGTAGTATGGCTCCTCCAAAGTTGGAGGGGAAGGAAGATGTGAGACAAATAGATGCTTGCAAGTGACCTTTGGCTGGGTACATCTGAAGTACTTCTGAATTAGAGATGCATAAAGTTCAAATAGTATTTAAACACTTTTTTGTCTGATTCGGGATCAACCTGATTGGACGTTGTCTTACCTGAACGTCCCTTTTCTGGGCGCTGCGTACACTATCCAGGAATGGGTTAATGCTTCAGCCTTTGGCAAACAACTGAGTGTTAAAAAATACTAAAAATAAGGACTTCCCCTTTCCCCTCTGCCTAGCCACCCCCCCCACTCCCATGATTTCCCAGTCTGAGCGAAGGTGTGGCGAAAAGGACAACCAGTGACACGACCATGATGAATTAATAACCATAACTTTATTAACAACAAGATTCAACATGTTCAAACTGAGAAACGGGGAAAAAATTCCCACCGGGCAGGAAGCCCAAAATATACGGGCGGGACTGGATAGTGTACGCAGCGCCCAGAAAAGGGACATTCAGGTAAGACAACGTTCATTTTCCTGTGCGCTGCTCCCACTATCCAGGAATGGGATATACCCAAGCTTAAATCTCCTGGGCGGGGGGCTGACTGCCCGCTGGGTCCATTCCAGTTGTGACCCGCTGGAGCACCCAGCGACCGAATGCCGCCTCGGCTGAATCATAGGTGTCGATCTTGTAGTGCCAGATGAAAGGCGACATGGAGGACCAGGTTGCTGCTCTGCAGATATCGGCAACAGAGGCCTGAGTAGCCCAGGCTGCCGAGGTGGCCGCGCTCCTAGTTGAGTGGGGAAGAATGTTGCCTGGTAGAGGCTTGGAGTTCAAGTCATAAGACAGCTCGATGCAAGCTCTGATCCATCTGCTAACCGTGGGGGCTGAGATCTTCTGGCCCATGGACGCCGGGTTGAAAGAGACCAGGAGGGCTTCTGTGCGACGGAAGGCTGCCGTTCTGCGTATGTACGTCTGGATCGCTCGCCGGACATCAAGGGTGTGCCAGCGTTTCTCCCTGTGGTCCTTTGGTGACGGGCAGAAGTCCAGCAGAATGAGTTCCTGGGCTCGGTGGAACCAGGAGTTCACTTTTGGGATGAAGGTCGGGTCCAGCCGGAGGACCACCGAGGAGGTTTTGAAAATGCAGAGGTCTTTGTGCACAGAAAGTGCTGCTAATTCTGAGACTCGCCTTGCTGAGGTGATCGCTAGGAGGAAAGTCACCTTGAGAGTCAGGTGTTTGAGGGTGGCTAAGTCTAGTGGTTCGAAGGGAGGGCCTGTCAGGGCCTGTAGGACTAGAGACAGATCCCAAGATGGGTAATGGTGTACCGTTGGTGGGTGCAAGTTTGTTGCCCCATGCAGGAACTCCCTGATACGCGGGTGATGTGATGTATGGAGCGCAGGAAACGACCGTCGATAGGGCTGCAGTCTGATGCCTTAGGGTCGCTGGGGCCAGCCCCTTGTCTAACCCTGACTGCAGGAACAATAGAATGTCTTGAATTGTGGCCCTGGTGGGATCCACATGGTGCACGGCACTCCAGCTGCAGAAGGCCCTCCAGGAGGCCTCGTAGATACGAGTTGTTGACGGGCGTCTGGCCGCCTGAATAGTGCTGACGACACTGTCAGGTAGATTGTCCTTCTTTAAGATGACCCGCTCAAGTGCCAGACGGCTAATTGGAGCCACTGAGGCTCTGGGTGGTTGACCTCGCCTTGGCATAGTACAATCTGATGTGGTGGAATCACCCATGGTTGCTCCACCGACAGGGCCACCAGGTCGGCGAACCACGGCCTTCGAGGCCAGTTTGGAGCCACCAGGAGCAGGTTGGCCTTCTCCGCCAGTAACTTTCGAATCAGGCGAGGGATCAACGGGACCGGAGGGAAGGCATACAGAAGGCCTGCCGGCCACTTGCAATGGAGGGCGACGTAGTCCTCTGCTTGTGGTGTCGGGTATCGAGACACGAACCGAGGGAGTTGGGCGTTGATTGGAGACGCAAACAGGTCCACCCCTGGTCTCCCGAATCTGGAGGTTAGCTTCCTGAAGAGGTGGGGGTGGAGCTGCCATTCCGCCTGGTCTATCGTTGTTCGGCTTAGCCAATCCACCCTCGCATTGGCTGACCCTGAAATGTGGTCTGCCCTGATCGAGCGCAGATGTCCTTCCGCCCACTCGAATAGGGCCTCGGACTCTAGCATCAGGCTGCGAGATCTCATGCCTCCCTCTCTGTTCACATGCGCCTTGGCCGAGATGTTGTCTGTCAGGACCAGAACGTGTTGGTCCTGAACTGTGGCCTGGAAGTGGTGCAGGGCTAATCTGATCGCCCGGAGCTCCAGCAGGTTGATGCTGTTGTGTTGTTCGCCTCTGGACCACTGACCTTGTGCCACCCCGTTGAGGAGGTGGGCTCCCCACCCCGAAGACTTGCGTCCGTGGTGAGGACCAGTCTGTCCGGTTCCAGAAAGTCTGAGCCCTTGAGAAGTGAGGTGGAAGTCCACCATCTGAGGGAGAGACGCACCCTGGTGGGGAGTTGAACCTTGCGTTTGGAGTTGGACCTCCCCGAGCGTTGGAACGGGAGGAGAAACCACTGGAGGGCCCTCGAGTGTTTGCGTGCCCACGGAACGATGCCGAAGCAGGAGACCATCTTCCCCAGTAGGCACGATAGTTGCAGAAGAGAGGCCTTCCTTCCTGACAGAATCTGAAGGGTCAGTTGCTGGAGACTCTGGACCCTGTCCGGGGATAAGAAGACCTGGCCCCTGGAAGAGTCTATCACTGCGCCTAGGTGGAGAATCCGTGTGGACGGTTGAAGGTGACTCTTCTCGAGGTTGATTGTAAAACCGTGGTTTCGAAAAGCTTCGAGGACTAGGTGTGAGTCCCTGGCCGCTTGGTCGTGAGACGATGAGAGTATCAGGATGTCGTCTAAGTAACAGAGGATTTGGACCGGAATGGTTCGAAACCTGGCTGCCACCACTGCCACCAGCTTGGTGAAGGTGCGGGGAGCCGACGATAGTCCGAAGGGCATGGCCCGATACTGAAAATGTTGGCCTCCGTATTCGAACCTCAGGTACTGTCTGTGGTCCGGGTGGATAGGGACGTGGAGGTAGGCTTCTCGAAGGTCGACTGACTGGAGAAGGTCCCCCCGTCTCACCCCCATTAGAATAGACTGGAGCGAGTGCATTTTGAACCTGTGATAGCGCACAGACAGATTCAACTTCTTTAGGTTCAGAATGGCCCTCCATCCCCCCAAGTTCTTGGGGACTAAGAACAGGCTTGAATAGAACCCGGAGCCTTGGTGGGCTGGTGGTACTGTCTCTATGGCTCTGATCTCTCGCAGATGCTTTAATTCTTGGGACATTAGAGCTTGTAGCTCGGAGGACTGTGGGACCGGGCACCGCACGAAGCGCTGAGGCGGCAGCCCTGCAAATTCTATTGATAATCCCAATGAAATGGTGCGCCTTACCCACGAGTCCGATGTCGACCGGGCCCATTGTTGGTGAAAGAGATGTAGTCTTCCCCCTATGGGCCCCTCGGTCTTGGAGTCACTTCCCCCTTCTGGCGGGTTTGAAGCCTGCCCCCCGGAAGGGTCTTCTGGAATGTTGGTTCCTGCCCCGGTCTTGGAACTGCTGTCTGTTGTGTGATCTGTCGCCTCCCATGTAACTGGAGCAGTGCGGGAAGGACCCCCTGGGCCCTGGGCCAGGCCGAAAGGGCTGTTGGACTGGATATGGGGAGTACCTCCGCTCTTGGCGGCGGTAAACCGATGGCAGTACCTTCCTCTTGTCCTTGTCTTCCACGAGGACAGGATCCAGGGCTGCTCCAAAAAGATTCGGTGCCTTGTAGGGAGCTGAGGCCAGCTTCCATTTAGCTTTAAGGTCCGCTTTCCAGGGCCTGAGCCAGAACAGCCTCCTAGTTGTGACAGTGGAGGCTAGGGCCCTTGAGGCGAACTTTGCCGAATTCAGGGAGGCATCAGAGGCGTACTCGGTGGCCGCAATAATCTTGTTGATATCCTGTTGCAGCCTGGTGTCTTCTGGAGGAAGCCTTTCTTGCATCTGGCGTAACCAAATGAGGGCCGCTCTAT